ACAGCTTGTGTTTTATTGCACATGTGCCGTTTCCTAAACAATTTCCCTGCAGTTTTTCCCAACACATGTGCTCGGAATATTTGCCAACTTTTGTGACCATTTGGACAGGCGGATTCCACTTCCGTTTTCCAGTTTCAGTTTCTGTTTCAGTTTCTGTTTTGCTTCTGTTTACGGCAATATCGTTTCAGTTAAGAGCCATTAAGTTGCGGTTTTCAGGTCGTCGTCTTATCGGGGGAAATGTGTTTATAAGTCGCGTTCAGCGACGCATTGAATAACATTTTAATTGGAAGTTGCAAAATGCGTGCCCATTAGCCAAGCTACCAGGGGACACGTATTATAGTGTCCAAGTTAATAATGCCAGCTGATAAGCTACACAGAAAAAAAAGTTGTCAAGGAATAAATATTTGGTGCGGAATTATATTCTTTATTATTTAATAAACAATTACAAATTTAGTTTTATAAAAATGGGAAAATAATTGAAAAACGTACAAAATATCGATATTTTTACAAATATGGAAATAACTCAAAATATTATTTTTTTTTACTAATTTAAAAATCATTTTTAATTGATTAAAATATAAACACAGAGATCATATAGCTGTTATGGCAACTATCGGTTTGTTTATCAGAAAATCTGCAATATTATGCGCTTTTTGTAATATATATTTTAATAGAATGATTTGGGTTAAGCTTGAAACCTAATATATTCAAATATTTCCCATTGCATCATGAAAACACTCCGTTTTCTCCCTGTGTAGCAGCTCCCTAAACACCGGACTAACCATGGCGCCAAGTCAAGACGCGACAGACAAAATGAAATGGCGATTAAAATATCAATTGCCAGACGCGGACCTGGGCCATCGATGATGGCGACTAAGCGCATTAATTTAATGCTCTCAACAGCTGGCCACGCCGTGCATAAATAAAATGTCATCGCATACCAATCCATTCCATATTACTCCATTCGGATCCGTTCGATTCCATCCGAAGGTGCAACATTTGAACGCTGTCGATTTCAAATTCGATTTGGTTTCGGACTCGGATTCGGATTCAGATTGAGATTCCGACGACAGCACTTTCCCTGGCATCGCATAATTCAATGTCGCCAGTCGAGAGTCGCCGACTTATGAGCGAGTTGCACTTGGCTTGTAAATCAGTCAGCACGCAGCTGCATCTTCGGGCCGGTTGACCTTTAGTGTCTGCTATTTTTAGCCACAATCGCGTAATCTTTAGCCCATACTTCGGCTTCCACTTCGACTGAGGCGAGCTGGAGCCTTTGGGGCCTTATGAAATTGTGTCAGGCCAGCCATAAATTGCCGGCTTTGGGAGCTTGTCCAGGTGCGAAGCGGACACCTGAAGCCGCTGCAGAAAATTACGGCTACGTCTGTGGACACAAGACACTTTGTCGCCGGGGCATTAAAGGGATTTGGATTTGGAAAATGAAACCAGACTGGGGACCTCCTTCTACACCTCTGGCCCTGACACCCTTTTTCTGTTTTTTTTCTGCTTGGGGCCGTGAGGGGGCTACTCCAATTGCAAATTGCAAAATGACAGAGAGCTAACTTTGCATTGTTTCGCCGGGTTGACAGGCTGAATTTGTTGGCCACTCCGGTTGCGGAGATCGCCGACCAGATTCCAGATTTCAGATTAGCCCGGACTGGCCTGGCCAACATTTTACCCAGATCTCGGCGGAATTATGCCATAAATAGTTTGGAACGGCCACAGCTGTTGGCTTTTAATTAAATGCTCGCCGGCAAGTGGCGATGATTAGACTCTACTTGTTGCACAGGGAAAAATATTTACAAATTTTTTGTTTGAAGAAAATGATCTTTAAAGTTTCAGACAAGGTAAGGTTAGATTAACAAAGATAAAAAATATATATTTATATCATTATTCGAGCAAGGTTTCTATAATATCTATATCTAAATGATGTACCTATTTATATAAGAAATATTTAAACAAGTTAGTTTGCAAAGATAATAGATATAATCATTAAAGGAATATAGGACAAATGGTTGCCATAAAAACTCAAGAGGACCCTAGAATATTGTGAATATAAATTAAGAATCTCTAAATATTATTTAAATTTTTTTTAAGCTTAGGAATTTTTTTTGTATTTTTTTCCCGTGTGTGTAAAGCCATTGAGAGAGAACCTGTCGTCGCAGCCCACGTTTAGGCAATTAAGCAAAACGCTCCGTCCCGTCTGCTAACTGGGTCAGCCTGCAGGATGATGGCAAAGTATCTGCAGCAACTATCTATTGGCCGCTGGATGGGCGAATATCTGGCATGTCTGCGCTCGCGGCCCACGCAAAATAATCAAACAGAATGATGGAAAATTAAATGTACAAATCATGTTTACGACTTGTCGTCAGTCTGCCCGAAAAGACAGGCGGCACAGCGGCACAGCGGCGGTCTGGCAGTGGGCGTGGCACTACTCATGCCAACTAATTGTTGTTCGTGGCTTGGCAAAATGTTGCCCAACCAGGCGAAGAGACAAATGCAACAAAAAAGCCAAGCGAACTCGGGCCACATTGACACCATTCGCAATTAGGAGAAAAGTGCCCCGTCGGCTACTGGGGATTGGGGATGTGGGTATGTGGATGTGGAAGTGCTTGAGGATGATGCTAATGCCTGGAAAAAAATCTAAATAGCTGAAAACCGGTAGCTGCAACGTGGGCCGCAGTTTTGTCTTAAAAAGTTAATTGCCTGATTTGCTCAGCCTCTCTTCTTCGGCGGGAAGTGAGATGTATGGGCTGTTGGGATGTTAGGCCGTTGGGTTGTTAGCCAAATGTGCTAAGAGATAATCACATAAACAGTGGCCTTAATGAAGTTGGCCAAGACGTAGAGAGTTGCAGATGCAAAGATGTCTTGCCTGGTATTTCCTTTTATTTATAGAACCCATATATACAGTATACAATTCCCGGCTTGAACTGCAATTTGCAGGCCATCATTAAAAGTGCCTGCATGCACCATTGACTGTTGACTGACGCGATCCGTAATTTATAGATCAAGTCCCCCTGTCGATAATGTTATTAAATCCGCAGTTGTGAGCGCTTTTGATTAATTGAACCGTTTGTGAGAAATGATGAGCGAGCCACGGAATGTTCATGCCAATTGCCGTTGACTCGGGTCGATGTTCTGCCATGTTGTTGCCTCATGTTGCCAGTTGTTGGTTGCTGGTTGCTGGTTGCTAGTTGCCTGTTGCCCGTTGCGGTTTTAGCCATGTTGCGTTGGCATATCAATTCACATGTCAGGCCGCCAGGCAGGCGAACAGCAGCAACCTACTTATTTATGCAGCAGGCCAGGCCGAGTAACTCCAGCTCAAGGCTCACATTCTGCTGCAACTGCGATCCCCGGCCAGAATGCACACACTCTGACTGATGGCCACGTTCTGACTCGCTGGCTCGTTGGCCATGCATCCTGCGGCTAAACAACTCAATACATCAGCCATCTGCATCCCCCTCCGCCGTTCGCCCCGGCATAAATCATTTTATGCAACAAAATTATGGCAAATATCGCGGGATTACGAGCATGTGTGCCGTGCAGGCCCATCAACATTGCAGCACCTCGATCGCCTGGGATCGATTGGGTTGGGCTGGGTCTCGCAAACGGGGGTGGGGGCCTTAGACACCGCCCACTAGCCACGCGCTTTACGAGGTTAAGAACTCGTTGGAGACTTATCGCCCAAATTAGTCATCACTTTGTTACTTCGCTCTATATAGAAACTGGAAGAATGTTATACTTTGTTTCAATTATATACCAAACGATTTTTAAGCCAATAAAAACATGTAACTCGAATTATCACTAATTTTTTACATAACTGAAGAAGGTTGGAGTCCTGGAAGATCGACTGTTTTAAAAAAGAATTGTAAATATTCTGGGAATATTATCAAAAGCTTACACAACTGGAAACGTATTTACCATCCCCAACTTCACCAATAGCAAGGATATATATTTTAGATCTCAAAATTGGCTCCTGAATACTTTTGGTTTTGGGCTCTGTTTCAGTGCTGCCATCACTCAGCTTGAAAAACAGGACAGATAAGCCACAAAAAAAAATTTAAGAAAAGGACAAAAAAAAGGACAAAAGTAAATGTGCCTACATTTTTCTGTTTTTACCAATGGGTTATATATTTACTTTATATAAATGGATTTTAAATAAAATTTAATTATGTAATGATCTACTGCGCCCGACTCACAACCTTCTTTGTTTGATAATTTTACCATGGTAAATTTTTGTGCGTATACGTAATAATCTAAAATTATTATAATAATTAATGCATTTCAAGTAACTATATTCGTAATACAAAAAAATTAAATATCTGCGTCAAACCCGAAAAGAGTCGTTCAAATCTGAATTTTTTCTGACAAAAAGCATAGAGTAAAAATTAAGAAATTTTAAAAGTGCTTTCCTCTTTTTTTGCTACAGAAAAAATCGTACTATAAAGAAAATCCATCGACTGCTTTACGTCTCTTTGATAATTTGTAAAAAGAATTATTTTTTAAGTGCCGAACCGTAAGAATGATGGTTAAAAAGGCATTTTAGCAAATAAAAACAGGTTTATACACTTTCGACTAGCAAAAATAACACTCAAAACCTTTTTTTTGAAAAAAGGATAGATTTCCGGATAGGGGATGTTTGAAATTTTTTCCGGATAAAGCCGTTAAAAAAAGGACAGATCTGTCCGGAAAGAGGACAAAATGGCAGCACTGCTCTGTTTTTTATAGATCGATCGATTTAGTGGGAACAAACTAATGTCACGTTATTTAAATGTTATTTAAATGTGAGTTTAAAAAAAAACACGTCTGTTCTAAAATATTATTTAAATATTTGAAGGCTTTCCTATATAATAATTTCATTATCATTTTAAATATAAAATTTTTCACATAGAATAGAAAGTAATTTGAGCAGGGTGAATTTATATGGATTTTATTTTAACTTTTAAAATTGCCTGGCTTTTTTCTGCCTACTACATCATTACCTTCCTTTCGAATTACAGGCAGCACCACAGAGTTGGCACCCTCGCTGCTGGGCATCTACGACACATTGGCAGCGGCTCCCACTGCGACATCTCACGAATCGAAGGCCTCCAGCAGCGGCGACTCGACGCCCAAGCGGAGCAACAGCAACTGCAGCAGCAGCAGCAGCACTTCCTCGTCGACCGGCAGCTGCTCGAGTGTCCCCACCAGCGATGACCAGTCCGCCAGCTACACGCTAGCCAAGTCGAGTTCCCAGTTGGGTGGCCACCAGGAGCACCCAGCCGCTCCATTGGTGGTTGCGGGCCTGCGGGACGAACCGGATGGCGCTCAGCTGAGCCGCTTGGTGGTGCAGCGGAGGAGCCAGCAGGAGTCGCAGATCCACGGCAGCAGCAGCAGCCTCGCCTCCAGCGGCGGCAGCAGCAGTCGACGCGGCAGCAACATCCGCATCCTCTCGCCCAATGTCCACAGGATCATCACGCACTCGGACATCCAGCCCGTGGAGGCGGTGTCCGCGGAGGCACTGAAGCAGCATCAGCAATCCCAAAGGAGTCCCACCCAGGGAAGGTACATAAAGACAGGAAATAGTGGGGCCGGCTCACCTGCCGGTGGTGGTTCCACGCCCAAGCACAAACTATCGCACATACCGCTCTCCAAGATCACTGGCAAGTTGTCCACCCAGTCGGGCAGCGAACTGGTCTCCACCTTCGATTCCAGCAACGAGTATCTGCACTCGGTGGCCTTTGCCGCCTTCGAGAAAACGAGCTCCAAGGCCATGGACGAGGATCGCACGCCGACGAACCACCCAGGCACGCCCTTCCACTTCGAGGGGAATCCCTTCCAGAAGCGAAAACTAACCCTGCCCCGCTACGATTCGCAGCAGAGCATCAAGCTGATCGAAATGGAGCAGCTGGCGGCCACCAGTGCGCAACTGCAGCATGCCCAGCCCGCCACTCCCGGAACTCCGGCCACGCCCACTCCTAATACTCCAACGATTCCCAAACCAAAGGAATTTGTGTGCAGTGAGCCACTGAGTCCGGTGGACATTGTGGACACCATTAATTTTGACCTGGTCACGCAGCACATCGAGCGACTCACGTTGGCGGATCCGGGAGGAGGAGGACTGGATCCCCGGGCGGAGATCATAGAGGCGGTGAACAAGACGCTGGTCAGCAAGCCGCTGGTCAGAAGCTCCTCCGCCGCCTGCGCCTCCACCATCTGCAGCTCGCCCCTGCTGACCTATGCCCGCACCAAGAGTCTGGGCGCCAAGGCCAGCACCCTGGGCGGCGGGGTGCCCCTCAAGTTGCCCACTGCCGAGCAGCTGGCGGAGCTGGAGGAGGCCAACAAGCTGTCGGCGGAGAGTCTGGACCGGCTGACGGACATCAAGCCCAAGTTTGCCGCCCGGCTGAGTGAGCTGGCCCGGCTGAACAACCGACCGCTGTCCTCCTCCTCCATTTGCTCCACCTCCTCCAGCTCGAGTTCCGGATCGGATCAGCTGCTCAATGGCAAGCTGACGGCCACCTCCTACTTGGCCAGCGTGGAGAGTCTGGCGGAGAGTGAGAACGAGCTGGGCGATCCGCATCATCCGCCGGCGATGAGTGTGCTGGAGAAGACCTGCCTGGAGATCGTGGACTCGGAGCGAAGCTTCGTCGAGGATCTGGGACAGGTGATCAAGGGGTGAGTATTCCTGGGGATATCACTTACTTGAGGATCTAACTCTCTGGCATTCTGTAGGTACCTGCTCGACTGGAAGGAGCGCGCCTGTCTGCGCGTGGACGAATTGCAAATACTCTTCGCCAACATTGAAGAGATTTACGAATTCAACTCGATGCTCCTGCAGCGGCTCATCAACACGGGAAGGGATCCCGGTAGGATCGCCAGGTGCTTCATCGACCTGCGCGAAGGCTTTGATGTGTACACAACCTACTGGTGAGTGGATGGTAGAGTATACTCCGTATACCAGTGTTACTTCTTATAGTGCTGAATATTTTGGGAATTCCCTTTTTTTTCTAACCGCTGAATCACTTTATTCTTATCAGTTTTTTACACATCAAGATAATCATTTAATGTGTCAATTTAACAAAGGTCTGGTTGTTTAAACATTCTTATCACAACCCACGAAAGTTCTAATGACAAATCCTATCAGTAGAAAAAGTTCGAGTCTATATAAGTAGCAGACCAAATGGACTTTCAACTTTTCCACTATTTTTATATGGGAGGCACTTTTTTAGTACATTATTCTAAAAATTAGTCGTGGAAAAGAATTTATATCATAAAAATCATTGTAAAACATAGTTGCACAAGAGAAGTATAATCACAATAGTTTTCATAGCATTAGTTTGAGATTAGGGTATCAGGGAAAAAATGATTATTCCCAGCACTTCATCAACACAATGTATTAAAATTAATAATTCCACTGATGTGGTGGGCTTACTGCTGACCTGGTTGGGGGATTCTGGGCAAACATCCACACTGGCCAGGCGTGTTCGCTCCATCTTCGATACTGTTTTCTGCGGCATTAGCTTTTGGCCAAGAACGGTAACGACGGCCCAAACGATCTCGATAGGCAGTTGGCTAGCAGCATGACACGAAAAGAAACGAAGCGATGGCGTCTCTTGGCAATCTAGGCACGCCATGTTCCATTTAAACGCTGACGTTTACCTGGTTGGCGATGCCAATTTGGAGAGCGGGATCCGATGGCAGCGGTTTGATTTGTCGCCCCCAATGACACGCCGCATACATCATCAACCGTCGTGCCTCCCACTGCCTCTTACAGCCTAAAAAACTCCCAGCTCCCAGCGACTGATTTGAAATTCAGATTTAATGCCGACCGATGATGAAGACCTAAAGCACATGTCATAAATCCCCCTCCTCTCTCCTTCGATCCCCCGCAGCACAAGCTACCCGGAAGCCATCTCGCTGCTGACCAAGTTGCTGCAGGCCACGCACACCTACTCCTTGCTGGCCTCCACGCAGAAGCTCCTCCAGCACCGCCTGCCCCTGGGATCCTACCTGCTGAAGCCGGTGCAGCGCATCCTCAAGTACCATCTGCTTCTGGACGTGAGTAGTTGGTAAATGCGGGGTGTGACCCTTTCACTGATTTTCTTTACTTTCCACCCAAACAGAGTCTGCGCAAGCACTGTGATGTGAAGGAGGTGGCCGAGGCCTATGTGATCATGCGCCAGGTGGCGTACAACATTGACCAGGTGAAGCGCAAGCAGGAGCAGCAGAGTCGCGTCAAAGAGCTGTCCGGCATTCTGGACGGCTGGCTGGGACCAGGTGAGTAATATTAAGCTTTCTAGTCCTTGGACTAACCCTTTTCTTCCCACTTATAGAGCTCACTGTCCTGGGTGAGCTGCGTCAAGAGGGTCTGCTGATGGAGCAGCACAACAAACAGCGCCTGGTTCTCCTATTCGCCACCATGCTGATCATCACCAAGCAAAAGGAGGACGGTCGCCTGCAGTTCAAGACCTACATTTCGGTGAGTTGTGTGTGTGTGCGATCCAATGAGTTATGCGTTCTAACAATCCCTCAATCTCGCAGCAAAACAATCTGATGCTCAGCGAACACTTGCCCGGGGAGCCGACCAGCTTCTATGTCATCCCCTTCGACGAGCCGCGCCACCAAATCAAGCTGACGGCCAGGAATCGTGACCAGAAGCGCATCTGGACGCAGCACATCAAAGGTGTCATGCTGGAGAAGCTGGACATTCCGATGCGCGCCAAGGAGCTGGTCTATCAGCTGGGCAACGAGGAAGGTGAGTGCTCTTGGTTAACTCGGTTAACTTGGCTTAGCCGCGGCTTGGCTCTAGGGCTCTTGCTGCCTTTTTGTTTTACGTTTCTTGTCTTACTTTTCGTTTTACCCCCGTTGTTTTTGTTGTGTTTTATTTTTGTCATGTGGCCAAAACACTTAACGATTTGGATTGGGGACTGCACGAGATGATGAAGTGCCAACGGTTATGCACATGCGGGTACTTGTTATAGTTGGGTAATGCCTGTCGGCCTGGGAAAAGGAGAGTCACGGAGAGAAAAGTGCGGAGTTTTCTAACTAACATTATTTTTACTTTCAAATATATTTTGCTATACCTAATCCTTACAAAATTAGTTTAGATTTAGATAATATAATTTTAAATTAAACTTAATACTATGATGGTTTAGTTGTTTTTAATGTTTTACGTTTCCTTCTTGCTTTGATATAAAATAACTAATACCTTAAGGAATTATTTGTAGATTATTTATTTACGTATAATCAAAGATACATTTTTCTTTTAAATTCAAAATTAAATTTAAGCCTAACAAATATGGTTTTGGTTTTTATCGTTTAAAAGTTAGCTTGGCTTCTAATTTGAAGAATGCTGTTTTGCATATAATCGGATGTTTAACCATTATATTTTTGTATCTCTAAGTAAAATGCAGCTATATTGGTTAGTAAATTTAAGATTCGTAAAAACTTAGTGGCTTCTTTCTCTCTCTGCACTATTGGTGGCTCTCCTTAATCCCGGCCACATGGAGGACTTGACTCGACGGTGCACTTATGATTCGCACGCTCAGCTGCGACCGAGTGACATAACCGAGTGGCAAGCGAGTCGCTAGCCTTTCGCCAAAATCGTGCCAAATCTGTCGACGCCTCGGCGGCTGGCTGATTTATTACTTGGGCCCGATGTAGGCGCATTTTAATTGCGGACCACAGCCACTTTCCTGGATCGTTAGGGGTTTTGGGCCACTCTACTGCCTCTACCGTGCTTAGTTGGTGTCCTACTCTAGTACTAATTCAACTTGATCTAACTCTACTCTACGAAATGCTATATGTTTACCGTTGTAGTACTACCAGTGATGCATTCTAAAACTAAACACCCCAAAACAAAGAAACGAAACTACTTTGACTAGTGTTTAAGGCGTTCTAAGGCTAAATCCCCCCAACACCCAGAGACTGAAACCGATCTAATTACCAAAAAGAACAACAAAAACAAAAAACGAAATAAATCCAATCCGATCAGACAAAAAGTAAGGGCTAGAAGGGCTAAACCCCAGTACCTACATCTAATTGTTAAACATGCTAATCAATCGTAATCGTAGTGTTCGCTAAAAGTAACTCCGGTGTCCGAAGAGCCTAGTAAGTATTGCGTACTTGAACCGTATTTGGATTGCTAGCTTTAATTGGCCTTCTAACTCGATCGGGGTCTGTGTTTTGCATGCATCCTAACCCCAAACCCATAATCGTACAGAGAACGCAACCCACTAACTAATCAATATTAATCTAAAGGACTTCTTGCATGCCGACTGAATGAACTTAGAATGCATACTCACTGGTGTTTGTTTTTCGCTCACAACCCCCCAAAACCACTCACCCATCCACCGCTTATCACTATCATTAGCTAGAGCACCGATTTAGATCTTGACTAATGTCTTTAACCCCAAAATGCAGATCGCACGCCGGATCGCAGCACCTGGAAGTGGAGCCTGCACTCGGGAAGCAACTCCACGCCCACTTATCTGGAGCGCAGGAATGCCTGTCGGCGCAGTGAGATTCGCCAGCGAAACTCCAAGTTCAAGCGGAAGACGGTGGCCAACTCGAGTTCCTTCGACAGCTTCAACGAGTCGCTGGAGCAGGAGGAGGAGCCGGTTGGTCAGGTGAAGCCCTCGAAGCCTCTGGCCAGGAATAACAGCCTAGACGACACTGCTCTACAGAAACTGGCGGCTGCCATGAGATATCGCAAGCGAGATGCGGGGGGCAAGGAGGAGGTCAAGACCCCAGTGAAGGAGTCCTGTAAGTGCGGCCAGGATGCCAAGCAGGAGGATCAGCAGGAGGCATGCAGCTGCATTCTGCGGGATCAGCGTAGTCGCAGTGCCAAGTCCCATTCGCCCGTCTTCAGTTACAAGGCGCTTAAGGAGCGCAGCAAATCGGTGCCGCGGATCGGAGGCTTCAGCCTGGACGAGGAGGCCGAGAGGGAGCGGGAACAGGACGAGGACAGCGCCGCCTCCCTGAGAGGAAGTAAGCCCGATCTCAGCGAGCGCAAGACCAAGGGCAAGGGCTTCTTCGAGGTCAAGCAGTACAACCACAAGACGATGCCCAAGAAGATAGCCACCCTGAAGAAGCAGCGCGGTAGCAACACCAAGAGCTGCTCCAGATTCTACATGGATCTCAGCGAATTCGATAGCAGCAGTGCCACTGTGCTGAAGATCACGGAATCCACGGAGGAACTGCGTCCGGATGGGGAGATCGAACTGGCCCAAGAGGCGGCCACGCTGGATGAAGGATCCCCGACGGATCCACAGTATTACAGCCCGGACCAGGAGCCAGTGGATCCCCTTTCGCCGGCGGAAAAGTCCAAGCGGGATGCCCAGATCGTGTTGGATTTGCTCAAGAACAACAAGGAGTTCGAGAGGATCTACAACAAGCAGCAGAAGAGGCGTGAGAGTCCTGTGAGTCCCGTCAGTCCCGATGTGAGTCGTGGGTCCATCCTGCCGCCACCACGCCCACCATCGCGCTCTCCGCCGCCCCTGGAACTGGAGGTGGATCAGAAAAAGCGAGTGGAGGAGGTGGTGGATTCAAGCGGAACCCGTGAGGAACCCATTTACGAGACCCTGCTGCGCAACGTCCATGTGCCTTACAAATTCTCACCTGTCCTGGGACGCGCCAAGTCCTCGCAGATGCTGAAGAAGCGATCCAAGGCGGCTCCAGCTGCCCCACGACCGGAATCGGACTATGTAACCCTCGTTTACTCGCCCGAGGGAGTGCTGCAACGCGTGGGCGAGGAGGCGGTGCACCGGGACAGCTGCAGCTCCTCCTCCTCCACCTCGACCTCGTCGAATGGATCGGGATCCACGCTGAAGCGGGACAGCCAGAGCACGGTGATCAATCTGTCGATGGAGGCCATCCAGGAGCACGGCTCCCGTCCGCTGCCCAAGAACTCGGTCTCGGGATCGGAGAGCTCGCTGCTGCCGCGGGCCCTGAAGTCCCTGGACATGGCCTTCGGTCGCTCCAATCGACCGCCGGAGCGCAGGGTCTCCGATGTGAGTGAAATGTGCCGCCAGAGCGTTCTGCACCGCCAGGGCAGCGAGGCGGTGGGCGAGCGGATGGCCCACGTGGACTATGCCGATCCCAAGACTCTGTTCGGATTGAACAACTCTGAGCGGGATTCGGTCTTCTCGCTGACCTCCTCATCCAGCGACAGCATGTGCGAGCAGCAGCGCAAGAGATCGGGAGTGGATCCGCCATCGGCCAGCTTCGAGTATGAGCAGCAGGTGGAGGATAGTCTGGAGAACGACTTCCGGGATTCGGCCATCTACAGCGATGACAATGAGAAGCGCTCGGGGGACTACGATGTCCATTTGCGGCGGCCCAGCAGCCCTCCTCCGCCGCCACCGCCCTTGGGACCACGTCCCCATCATCATCATCAGCCCCCTCAGATTGCCCCAAAGCCCTCCAGGGATCAGCTCATACAGCAGAGGTCGGGCGTCATCGTCTGCCAGTCGGCCTCCCGCAGCTGGGTCCTTCAGCAGATCGAGAACTTCAACAAGTAGAAGGGTCCAGGAGAAGGGTCCCTATGATACAGAGACGAGAGATACCGTTGTAAACGTTGCAAACCCATTGCCATAAACACAATTCCTTTGTAATTTCTACATGTACATAGTTACGAGTGTTTAATACACACTCTGTATGCAATGCTAATCTTAGATACCTTTAGTCGACTGTTTTATATTTAGAGCTTAGTTGCATAACCGCAGAGTCATTTAATAAAGTTCGTAATCACTTTGACAATTAAAAGAGGTCTTTAAATCAAAATCGTGGTGGATTTTTTCTTGGCGGCGGAATGTAAGAGGAATGTAGAATGTAGAATGTAAAGAATGTAGAAAAAATGTAAGCGTTGGTTAAAATGTAGAGCATGTAATAAGGTTGTAGTCACGGTTGGTTCGAGTACACGCTACACTTAACCGAATCATCCTGCGATCTCTGTGTTTTTCCCCTATTTCGCTGGCCCCTAAATCTAGAAACCGATAAACACCGCGATTTATTTAAATCCAGTCGGACAATAAGCTTAATTCTTTTCCAGTTCTGACTTTTTGGCAGGACATTGTCCATGGCGGCTAGTAGGGTGTTGGGCTTGCTGACCGCCTTAATACTGTCCAGATAATTGCAGGATACTTAGTAGGAGTGCTTGCATATGATGCACCCCAAATCCTCCCCTGGTCTTGGAGCGGCTTCTTGTATAATGTCGTTTCCCGATGCCTCTTCAAGCTCTGGTAGCCGGAGATCCAGACGTTTGACATTTCTTCTTAACAGTTATTCGTCGTGATCAAAATAAAACTCAAACTTGATTTATGGCGATTTTGTGGGTAAACAAAATTTTAAAAAAATATAGGTATAAAATATGCGCGGTTGCCTTTTTTAACAAATTTTTAGTAAGTTATAAAAAGCACGGGTATTATGTTTTTTTTAATTATTTCATTTTTTCAAAAATGTCAAGGGAATAACTGTTATTCATAAAAATAAAAAAATAACAGTTATTTTTTTAGTTTTATTATAAAAATCAAAAAATAAAAATCATTACGGATTTGTAAACTACAATGGCTAATAAAAATTGTGGTGTATTTAAAAAATTTTTAGGACCCTTCTAAGTGCGTGATTTTTATACCCTTGCAGAGGGTATTATGATTTCAGTCAGAAGTTTGCAACGCAGTGAAGGAGACGTTTCCGACCCCATAAAGTATATATATTCTTGATCAGTATCACTAGACGAGTCGATCTAGCCATGTCCGTCTGTCCGTCTGTCCGTCCGTCTGTCCGTCTGTCCGTCCGTTTCTACGCAAACTAGTCTCTCAGTTTTAAAGCTATCGGGATGAAACTTTCGTAAAAGTCGTATTTCTATTGCAGGTAGTATATATGTCGGAACCAACCGGATCGGACAACTATATCTTATAGCTCCCATAGGAAGGATCAAAAAAAAAAACGTAAAAAAATTCTAGCTTCGGTGTTTTTTGAAATTTTACCTTCTACTCTTGGGAATATTTTTTTTTATATATTTCTGAATTTCGGTTTTTTTGTTTTTTAAATCGGATCACTATATCATATAGCTGTCATAGGAACGGTCGAAAAATTAAATGGAAATTAATGGGAAAACAAGAAAGGAAGCTAGCTTCGGCCAGCCGAAGCTTATATACCCTTGCAGATCATTCCTATTAATTAACAAATCGCAAAAATGTTCAATTTTCTAATATTTCTCATTAATTTTCCGATCGTTCCTATGGCAGCTATATGATATAGTCGTCCGATTTTGATCAAATTAAAATTGAAATTCGGAAATATTTAAAAAGAGTTATATCCTAGAGTAGAAGATAATAAAAATAAAAACCAAAGAAGCTAGAATTTATTTCCTATTACTTTTCCATTAATTTTCCGATCGTTCCTATGGCAGCTATATGATATAGTAGTCCGATTTTTTAAATAATTAATTCGAAATTCAGAAATATTTAAAAAATAACATCTCCAAAAGTAGAAGGTAATATTTTAAAAAACACCGAAGCTAGAATTTTTTAAAGTTTTTTTTATCGATCCTTCCTATGGGAGCTATAAGATATAGTTGTCCGATCCGGTCGGCTCCGACATATATACTACCTGCAATAGAAAGAAGACTTTTGCGAAAGTTTCGTCCCGATAGCTCAAAAACTGAGAGACTAGTTTGCGTAGAAACAGACAGACGGACAGACGGACAGACGGACAGACGGTCAGACGGACAGACGGACAGACGGACATGGCTAGATCGACTCGTCTTGTGATGCTGATCAAGAATATATATACTTTATGGGGTCGGAAACGTCTCCTTCACTGCGTTGCAAACTTCTGACTGAAATCATAATACCCTCTGCAAGGGTATAAAAATTATATCTTTGTTGGTTTTTATTACATTTCCTTCTACTCTGGGATATGACTATTTTGAAATATTTCCGAATTTCGATTTTAATTTTTAAAAGATCGAACTACTATATCATATAGCTGTGATAGAAACGATCGAAAAATTAATGTGAAATAATAAGAAATTTAACATTTTTGCGATTTGTAAATTAATAGAATGATCTGCAAGGGTATATAAGCTTCGGCTTGCCGAAGCTAGCTTCCTTTCTTGTTTTGTATGAAAAATTTACAATAACAGTTATTTTCGTTCCCTGATTCAAAGTATCTTGCTATTTTCCCATGCTGTCTAGTGGTTTTTGTTCAAACTTTGTAATAGGTAAGATATTTTTTTATTCGTACAAATTCCCAAATATTCTCTGCGTTAGAGCTTTAAAGCCTCCCCTTTTTTCCTCCTGCAAAGCGAATGACATCAGCAAATTATTATAATTTAAACTCATTTGAATGGTAATCCGTTTACCTGTTTAATGGCCTGATTGACAATCACTCGTCTGATAATTATGATAAAACACAAATTATAATTTGAATGCCAGGACCGGAGCGAAAAAGATCCGTGACATAATCTACTTATACAGTTTGGAATAATTTCGCCGAAAATAGCCAGCCGTGCAGCAGCAGCTTTTCACTGATTATGCAAAAGCTGACCAATTCTCTGGAGGTCCTGCCATTGAACAATGATGAAAATCAGGCCGTCGGCCATCGTCGACCGTCAGCGTAATCTGGTGGAAAATTAAATGCAAAAGCGTGTGTCCGCGGCCAGGAAAACACACATGTCGCCGTTGTCGACACAGTGTGTCCGCCTACATTACGGCGAAAAAAATCCCATTCGCTTTTGCATAATTCATGGCTCAAATGACCGGCTGACAATTACTCCTTCCTCGCAGTTTTAACTTATCAACGGATACGGTTTTGCGAGGTCCGGAGTTGACAGTAATTCAAGGGACCCATGCTGGCCAATTGCCGGAAGGACCTGGCTGAATGTCCTTGGCAGTGGCCGTGCATTTGATGGCACAGGACAGGATGCACAGGATGCTGCTGGAGCCGCAAGGCCATGCCAGGTTCACAGCTCACTTCACAGGGGCAGGGTCGAAAGTCTAGGCCAGAGACCAACTCCATTTAGCAGAAAACGGAATAGGAAAAAAAGGCGAGATAGAATCGTTTCCCCGTTGATTTCGTTTTTCCAGGGCCAAGGGAGCAGCTAGGGTTCCCCCTTTTGCGCCCAGAGCATTTTGCCAATCGTGAGCTGACTGCATTATGCTATAACCCCATTGGAGTAAAGGTCGCTTTCACTTTTTTCTCCCTGCCACTGGCATCGCTGGCAAAAAGCTCACCTGCTCTGCTCGTCTCCTGCTAAAACAAGAAAACAGGAAAAACACACAAACTCTCACACAGAATTTCAATTTCTTTGACACGTTCTTGTTGCTGTTCGTTTGCAAAACGCTCAACAAGTGCCAGGATGCTGAGCAGTTGAGCCCGAGTATCTACAACGAACTGACATGGACTAGATGCACTCGAAAGAAATATCATTCAACTTTTAAATTATAAATTTTAAATTGTAAAAAGAAAATTGTTGCTTTTTATTTTTGTCCAACCTAAAGTTAATTCAATTTACTTTTAATTTTTTAAGCTCCGTAATAATCTATTTCCTGAAATATTTTTTTTGTAATTAAAAGACTGTCTTTAACATCGAATTTCTTTCTTAGTTCAGCTTCTGAATTAAGTTAATAAGGTATATAAATGTAATGAGGTTTTTCACGTTTTTGTTACGATTCCAAAAAAAAGTTTTTGGAAAAGGAAATTGTTATTAGTTATTTTGAGACAGAAATATTATGTGGCATCGTGAATGATTTATGTGTTTTTGCGACCAAGAAGTAGCTTGAAATAAGTTAGAATTAAGATTGATTAGAAGAAGTAATCAACTATCCTGGAGTTAGAAACAAAAGCTTTATTTTCCAAGTGTACCAGAAGATACGAAGTGTAACAGACAAGCTTTGACTTTTATGGCCCCCCCTGAAAACCTCGCTCCCACTTCCCCTTGACCCCGCTGTGCTGGGAACCCATCTGAGGTCTCTGGCCACCGCCTTCGTCTTCGTCTTCTTCCGTTTCTGGGGAAAACTTTAGCAAATTGCCATTTTGGCATTTAGCTGCAGCAGGAGAAAACGGCCCCCCGCCGCCAATTTTCTTACATTTGAGAGATTATTTTGTCGTGGTCCTTTCGCTTTTCGCATTTAATTCCGTTCGCCTCCCTGCCCCGCCAACCACTCCCCTTTTCACCGACCGAAGGTCGTGGGCTACAATCGAAATTCCGCTTGTAATTTGCATGCCGCGAGTGGCACACCCACTCGCCCACTCCCCTTTCCACCGCCCCCTTGTCCTTACGCATTTTCGTATCGTTAGGGTTTTCCGTACCCATTCCGGTTTCCCGGTGACTTTTTGCGTCCTCCCGTCTGTTTCTGCTGCCGAAGAATAAACAATACAATGCCCAAGCCCCACCAACAACTTCCTGTTTCCTGAGCCGCGCAAATTTGCAAGTATACCCAGGCAGCGAACGGCAGACCCACAAACATCAACAGGCGGGCAAACAACCCAACCAACCAGCCAACCTTTTCTCATTTCCTTTGTAAGCCCCCAGTGTAGCCATCCTATATATAGTCGGGCATACTGTAGTATAGGCGCAACTTGTTGCTGTTGCCTCTCAGCTATCGCAAAAAGCAATTTCATGCCAATGCGATGAATTGACAGCGACAGCAGGAGCAGCAGCAACAGCAGCAGCAGCAGAGAGCAGGAGCGAAGCGAAAGGACCGCCCTTGTCTGATGCCGGCGGCGCTTGATCCTGATAACCCAGGCACACACGGGCGGACAGGTGAACTATATGGGGTGGTGTATACGGGTGGAACAGGTGGTCGGGGAAGAGGAATGCCAAGGAGCCTGCTGACGACCTCTATCCGTTCAATCCATTCTATTCCAGATGCCCGACGCTTCATTACGGTTATGGGGCAGGACACTCGACGGACGGACACGGGCACTCACTTCCTAGAATTCCACTAGCAGGAAATTCGTTTCTTTACTATTTTAGCAAACGACATACCCTTTTCGTATTTTCAACGTATTCTTACAAATCCTGGGAGTTTGCTGATTATATGCTTCGATATATGCCAGTTCTGAAATCTCAATAAATCTAATCAATCAAAAACACCTTTTGACGAGGATAATAACTAGTGACGATCGAACCTTTAATTTACAGAAGTTCTGATATCATATTTAGTAATGAAAAATGATTATAGATTTTACTACATTTAAGCTTCTTTTATTTCCATAGAACTACCACCAAAAAACACATAAAAATTCCTGTTTTTTGATATACCCCTAATCCTTATTGGCTTAAAAAATAAACTGTATTTTGCCCAAAACAAAGCGACCAATTTTCCTAATTTGAAATGAGTTTATAATAAAAATCTATTTTACACCTGAAAAGAGTCCCCAGATTCAGCTCCTTGGCAACAAATAAGGGTATGCCAAAAGTCGCTGTCTACGTGGGCCATCCCTCTGTTGTTTACCTAGCTCCTCGTCCCGCCGTGCAAATAATCATACTTCAAAGGCAATAAATCGTTATTTAAATTTCATTTTCCACACTGCTTAAAGTTTCATTTCGTAAATTTCAGCTTGGTCGCCGCTGCGGGAATCGCAGCTCAGGATGCTGTGAAAAATACTGATGGAGCGGTAGGTGGAAAGTATGCTTTAAAAATTCGGCTTATTTGGTTATGAATCCCCCGAGAGTGACGGCTGCCGGCGCGAATATTTCTTCATCTGCCATGCGAGAATACCTGAGTGTTTGTTTGCTTTTTCGTGCGTCTGAGTGGCATGGTTATTTTTTTTTAGATGCTTGGTACTAGACACACACACACACACAGATCTGTGTGCAGATGGCCAACAGCTTTTGGCCCTTAAAAAAAATGGTGTGTACTTTGGCATCCTTTATGATCCCTTTTTCCGGCTAGCTCTTAAGGTATTGCCTGCCCATTCCGGAGCATAAGGTAATCCGTTTGCGAAAGGTAAATGGAAAATGCAGAGTGCCATAAATGCCATCGAATCGATGTGAAATTCAAGACTAAATCGGAGATGAGTCCTTGGCCAATTGGCATTTAATACAGGTTTATGATATTCCAGATATTCCACGTATAATTAACTTAATATCCACCCCCCAATTAAATTGTGTGTCTGCCATTAAGCTCCTCGGAATATCCCAGCTTAAGCGGGATAATGCTTAAGCTTTTAATCGATTTTTGTCGACTCTCGGGCAACTCGATTATTATGATTGCGACTCCGATTGCGAAATGCCACGAGGTGGGTGGGGAGTTCACGGGCTATCCTTGAATCCCTCAATGACTTCCGCGCCCCAATGCCAACGTTGCTTATTTTCATAAGAATTTACACTGCCCGGGAGGCTGGCGCTGATTAAGGAATGGCAGCTCCCGGGCGGGTATATTCATTTAGGCTTGTTTATTGAACTTGGAATTAGTTTGATTTGGCCACCGCGCCAAAGGACCACTGAGAACGAAGGACGAACGACGGAGGACCAAGGACGAAGGACGACGCTGAAGGTAAAGCGAAACAATCTCGGCTCAAAAGGGAAACATTTGCAGGATAATCCCGGCCGGCAGCTCCTTGGTGCGTTAAATATAATAAAATAAGCTCATTAAAATTATGAGACCCAGCAGGTGGCGGGGTCGGCAGGCGGAGCCATCAAAGTTTCGCAGATATATCTTAGAGGGGGGTTGCTTTGGGTTGCCATGCCTCCAATTCCTCTGATTTCTCCCATCAATCAGAGCCGGATTGTCAACTTTTCAGCAGCATTCTTCGGCAGCCCAACTTCCTCGTAAGTTAATTACGGCCTCCCGACCAACTGGCGATTGATTCTCCGAAAAGCCAATATTGTGTCGGAGTGTTTTGTGCCGCAGGAGCGTGAAATCCGTCCAAGTTTCGGGTGCGATTGACAACAGGCACTTAACACATTTCCGCCCACAACCACAAGTGCGCAACAGCTGAGATCTGAGGAGGCCAGGCCAGGATTTCAGTACTTCACTACCAGCCGCATGAGTTGGCATTGAATTTGCGGTTGCGCCCTGTGACCCCTGACCCCTGACCCCTGCGAAGGAAACACAAGTTAGTTACAGAGCGGCCTTGTCCTTTATTTATCGTATGATGAGATCGAGTCTGGAAGGAGGATGGATGGGCAGAGGGGGAAATGGAGCAAAGTTATACACACCAAACAAGAAATCGGATTTTATCTCCGTGTACTCTAATTAATTTGCTTTTTCTGCAGCCTCATCTCGCTGACAGGCGAAAGCGTACAATTGCGGATTATACTAGGCAACACAAAATTGATTCTTTGCCGAGGGTTCTCTATTCAGTTGTATAGTCGCTGATTTTCTGTGTCTCAGCTTGGCTTTTGAAAAATATAAATATACACATCGATCTTTACACAAATATATATTTAGTATTTATATGGTTTTGGTTGGATATCTCTATAGCTACGCTTTAAGCCAATTGTTATGTTTAGGTGGTGGCTGTAAAATCTCATTTAGAATACATTGTTATTTAATGGCTTTACACAATAAATTCGGTGGGAGTTTATAGCTGGCCCTGATTCGATTTGGGCTTGGATTCGAGTCAGCGATTTGATTAGCGAATCGAATTAAAGCCTCTGACCCTGGCGCACGCGGCGTATGCGCGATGCAGATTGCCACGGTGCGGATGGGAAATATCTACTCGAATTCGCCAGCCAGCGTTTGCATTTTGCAAATTAAAACTTTCGCCGGAGCAAGTTTCTGTTTTGTTTGCTAAATGTTAAAAATGATAAAGTGCACTCGACAGAAAGCAGGATGAAAGGATGTGAAGCGGAAGGAAGGGGTTTGTAAGGGGTAGCAGGAGGTGGAAGGTAGAGTAGAGCAAACATGAGTGCACAGCTGTCGAGTGCTTGACTTTTTGGACGAGCCCGTTGGCCAGGCCTTCAATCCCACTCGGAATCCTCGGACTCATTCCCCCGCCCCTCTAATGTGTAAGTTTGCGTATGAAAATAGTTAGAGTTACGTTTGTTTTTGCTTGCCTTTCGCATTTTGTAAAAGGTATTTTTCAAATATATAAGCGTATGAGTTCAGAAGTGTTAGAAGTATGGTCGTAAATATATGTATATGTATCTTTGTATCTTTAAATATATATATAGGTATATAATATATAGGTACACAGTGTACACACGTAAAGATACATCTATATATCTGAGTGAAGTACTTTGATTAAATGGTATTTGTTCTTGGCTTAGACTAACAACAGTCAACATTCAACAGTCATTCCGATATGAGATTTTCGTCAATTGGAAGAATTTTTCTTTGCGAAGCAGGTGGAGTGTTAAGTAACCCTAGCCTAGACAATAAACTTATCCGATATAGGTCACGTGTATATATGCATGTATGCTGCTTATGGCCTCTATGTGTATACATAAATCAACATCTATAAAGTTTCCCTCGTCTCCCGAGGGGGCTGCTCCTTAAGCGTTTCGTAGCGTTCAATTGACAGCACATTATTGGAATTGAAGTAATATTCGCGATTGGAACACATATAAGTATGTATACGCAAGTACGCATTTTAAATGTACATCTATAAATCGTAGTATTACGGGCCACGCCCCCTTCAGCTATTTTGGGTTGGAGGCTGCACACGCTTCGCTGGATCGCTGGATTGCTGTATTGCTGGGTCGTCGGATCATTGGATCGGGGGTTCCTTATCGATCCGGCCTTCGCCACCCATTTGGAGGAGCGTCTGGGCCCGATAAGCCGATCCAAAACATCCGCCATAAACAAGCCAGCCGACTATCGCCGAATCTGGAGGCCTGACCACAGCCAATGACTTGCCGAAAAGCGAGACCCGGCATTAAACTTTCAATAAACGGAGCACAACAAAGGCGATGAACACATCCACAACCCCGCCCGTTTTTTGCGGTCCAATCTGAATGGCATTCGGAATATTTTGCCAGGCAGCCAGGCAGCCGCTTTTGATAAAATTCTCTTTTGTATACAGTTTTGTGTTGGTTTTTGTGGCATAATTTCGCCCAGGGATTTTAGCCGGGTGAAGAAGACATCGAGGTTGGCTCAGTTGGGGGACATCGTGTTTATAGCACATGCAGATTCTCGCAGCTCTTCGACTTGGAGATGTCGCTGAGGCAGATCTTCTGGAGGAGTTCCTTGGCCAAGTGCAGGGATATGTGGGTGCGGGAGGTCTTCATCTTCGAAGCGGTGGCCTTCTTCTCGCGCTTCTCCTTCAGACGCATCTATTTGAGAGGGATTGAATATATCAAAGGGGGTTTAAACAAAGGGTTTAGTAATTGTATGGACTAATCCAATAGAATCGGAAATATCTCTATCCCGGCTGAATAACCCCCGCCTAATCTCGTTAGCTGACCACAACGCACCATTTTCATTAATTAGTGAGGCCCGAAACCGAAACCCAACCCGAAAACAGGGAGACCAACCCAACCCATCGCCCATGGCAAATCCATTTAACTCCGTTTCCTGCACAATTTCGCCATGCATCGGTGGGTTGCGTGTGGTTCGCACCTGGCCCCAATAACTGCAACCCCAGTTTTCCACCCTTTCGACCAACTCACCTGCTTCAATATGCCGACGAGCAGCTCATCGACGTTGTGCTGTATGCCGCTGGACGTCTCAATAAATTTGGCATCGCGTGAGGCGGCCAGGGCTTTGCCCTCTTTGGGGAGCAAAAGTGAATTGAGAAGGGGAAATGAAATCAAGCCATCATAATTAAGACCCCCAACTAGAAAACTTACCCTGTGAGGTGATAAGCCGAGCACGGGCCAGATCCGCCTTGTTGCCCACCAGGATGACGGCCTTGTCCTTGGTGTAGTTCTCCTGCCACAGGTAATTGATGATTTCCTCGGCCACGCGGAAGGAGCTGCGATCGACCACCGAGAAGACGACGACACAGCCATGCGGCTCGTAGGTGGACAGCGAGTTCTCCACGCTCATCTCGACGCTGGGATGGTCGATAAAGACCATGTCCGACTCCTCGTCGTCCAGCAGAACGCTGACCGTCTTCTCGCCGAACTCGTCGTCTAAAACTCAGATCAGAATTAAACTCTAAAGACGACAGTGGCAGCCGGGAAGCTAGGGGTCAAGCACACACATAGGTTCCAGCTAGGGGTCACGCGGCTACTCACTGCGGATGATTCTCTCGCTCGCTCTGCCCACTCGACATTCAACTTACCCAGGCTGGCGTCGTAGGTGTGCATGTACTCGGAGGTCATGAACTGGTTGACCAGCGCCGTCTTGCCCACGCCGGCATCGCCCAGCATGACGACTCGATAGCGAGCCGGTGGCGGCGGTTCATCCAGGTTCTCGGAGTCGTCCGGTGTCGCCGGCAGGGAGTCCACATTGGCGTAGCCGGCTCCGCAACAGCTGCCCTCGAAGGGCGAGCGCTCGCTGGCCCGGCTGTTCGTCGAGTTGACGCTGGTGTTACTCCGCGATCTCCGCGAGATTATCGAGTCGCCGCAGTTGACCACGTTGCCCTTGCTGATGGAGAAGTGCCGCAGGCGGTACAGGTCGTCGCTGGCCCGGGGATTGTACGGTCGCTCTGGGAGCGAGCAGACGCGCGGACGAACGTGGTCGGGAACTTAAAGGGGGTGAGATAGAAAAAAAACATTAAATTAAACTACAATTGCGAAATCTAACAAGACTATAGTTTGAAGTAGAACATCATTTTCTCAATAAGAACGTAATGCAAGGTAATTTTTTTTTTCAATTAGTACAATAGTAAAACAAGAGAGAACGCTATAGTCGGTTGTTGTCCCGACTATCTAATACCCGTCACTCAGCTAAAAGAAGTGCGAACGCGGGTTGGTGTCCCGACTAATAATCGTAACTCAGCTAAAGGGAGTGGGGAGATAGATATATAATTTTTGATTGCGTATAACTTTTTAATGAATGGTCCGATTTGAAAAATGTCTTCTACATTTCGATAGGTATAAATATACACAACAAAATTGCATTTATACTTGTCGGAAATCTTTAAAGATGTGGGCGCAGGACCCATTTTAAAATCGTTAGTGGGCGATTGTGGGCGTTAGAGGGGGCGTGGCGCTCGGCTATAAACTTGCGCTGCGTAGGAAGCCAAAGAATATGTGTGGGAAATCTCAACCTTCTAGCTTTTGTAGTTTCTGAGATCTCAGCGTTCATACAGACGGACAGACAGACAGACGGACAGACGGACAGACGGACATGGCTAGATCGACTCGGCTAGTGACCCTGATCAAGAATATATATACTTTATGGGGTCGGAAACGCTTCCTTCTAGCTGTTACATACTTTTGCACGAATCTAGTATACCCTTTTACTCTACGAGTAACGGGTATAATTATAATCAATAAATATTACCAAGAGAAGAACAACAACAAATCTTTCAGCGGTAACACTACTACTATTTCGACTGCAGCTGTATGTTCTCTCTTAAAAAAAACCTAAAATTATTTCGAGTATGGGGATCGAAGGATAAAGAGTGTCACTTTTAAAATAGTTCAAAACAAACCATTCGCCAATTTCAGCATTTTTCGGAACTTTGAATGCGTCGGGGAACTTTTTGGAAAATGAAATTTAACTTGGGAATTCATAATGAATTAAAGTTGTAACAAGAATATTACATAGATCTACTTTTTTCAAGAGCCTTTTATCCGCCCGATTATTATATTATTTTACCCCGATATTTTACTAGGTTTTACACCACAGTCTATTAATACTGGCTTTAACTTTTCATAAAATGTCTCAATATTCAACTAGTTATGTTTTCGGTATAAAGGATATCTTTTTAATAATAAGTCATTACCTAAAGACCATGAAAAATTGTAGACGTTTCTCACCTGGCAACTCGAGGAAGTTGGATGTCCTGCGCTGGCGACCGCGATTGGAGCTCTGGAAGGCCAATGGGCCAACGTCGTCGTTGGAAACGATCGAGGCATTGGAGCAGGCGCTCTTCATGGATTCCCGCGAACTGCGGCGACTGGCCAGGTAGGCCAATCCCCCCTTGGAGCTGCCCCTGCGTCGCGGCTTGTGCTCCACGTGGGCCTTCGGCTTGCTGTTGGGCTTGCAGCCACTAAGCTCGTGGTCGGCATCTTGGGTCAGGTCACTGGTGGATTTGCGATAGCGCAGCGAGACCACGCTATCCGAACAGGTGCGATCCAGCGTGGAATGGGAGCTGTGGAGCACCTGGTAGCCGGGATTTGAGGTGATGTTGATGGCATGGCGGCGTTGGCGCTGCGATTGTCCAGGCAGTCCAGGTTGTCCTGGCTCTGGCTCCATTTCCGGTTCCGTAAAGCTGAAACTGGTGGTGGTATGGGTCACCCTGGTGCTGTTCGTGTGCTGGGTGCCCGTCTCTCCGGATTCCATGGACAGCTGGGTGCAATCGGTGACGCAGGAGTCGCGCTTCAGGCCGTAATAGTTGCCTCCAGTCGATCCTCCTCCTCCTGCGGCGGAAGCGGCTGCGTTAAGATTTCTGGCCTCAATCTTGCTGATCACCGGTAGCTCCCATTCATCCCGCTGTCGCTTGTTCACGTAACCTCCTCCGCTGCCCATGGCCATGGCCACCGCCATGCTCTCATCCACCCCTGTTGTGGTTAACTGAGGAACAGGATCCAGTGGCGTCTTTGTCCGCATCAACTTCTTGGAACCCTGTCTCCTTGGCGAACTGGGAGGATCGTAGTAGAGGGCTCCATCGTCTGGGGAGATGGGTTCGTAGTACTCAAACTTACGCCCGTGACTGGGACTCACTGCATCGAAGACGAACTGGCAAGGGGATTTGGGACTGCGGGCAGTGGTGCGTCCACTGAGCAGCGAGGCGGAGTCATCGATCGATCCCGACGGAGGCGTTTGATAATATGAGCTCGGCGTGGAGCTACTCGCCTCATCGCAACTGTCTTGGGCAAAGGTTGTGGTGATCTGAGGACTCCTGGGGGAATCGTATCCCCCGTATCCATAGCCGGGCGCCGGAGCATTGTGGTATGGCCTGGTGGTCATGTCAATTCGATATGGTTTTGGCTTGGGAAATACTGGAAGTTACTCGAGCTCACCTAGGCAGCTTGGGAGTGGCTCCCTTGCAGGGCAACGGGTTGCTGGACGCTCGTGCAGGTACTTTGTGGTGCGAGGAGTGGGGATGGCCATAGGAACCTCCTCCTCCGACAGCTCCCTCGTCCCAGCTGCGCTGTTGCTGTGCCATTTTAGGACTTCTTGGGGAAAGAAGATTTATTAATCAGTACACTATGAAAAAAACCACCTAATTCAGTTCCTTATTTCTTATAAAATCTCTATCAAGCCTTAGTTACAAGTATTTACAAGTAATCATTGCTTAAAAGTTTTTGTATTCAAATTAAAAGAGTTTGTATTTCGCAAAAATTGCTCAAGTTTGCAATCTAAACATATAAACATTATTAGTTTTTTTAATTCTTAAAATTATTATAATACTTTTAAAATAAATATACCCAATTTTAAATTTAATATGCCCTTCTTGGATTTAAATATTTTAATATTAAACTAAGCATTTTAATATGTTTCGTATTTAGGGACTAACCAACAAAAAGTCGTCCAAAACAAAAACTTCATATGAAACAAAATTTTTTGACGTTGTTTTTCATATGAAGTTTTTTGTTTTGGACGACTTTTGGTTGGGTTGAGTACTAAGCCTTAATTTTGGATTCAATAAGCGGATATTTAATATTCCATTTTTTTATCAGTGCATGTAAGATAGTTTTTTCCCTTCTTGCCCTTCCCCTTTCCCAGTTAAATACGAACGGCATTATATATCAATTTCTTCCTGTGCATCTGGCACACCGATGCGATAAGTAGATGAGATGGAGATGGGAACGACTCGCTGATGGCCAACTCATGTGTAAATATCATGGGCCATTACTCATCCCGCACACACACACAAAAGTGCGCCCTGGCCCGAATGGGCACAAAGTAAACATAATTTATGGCTTTATCTGTATTTAATCAAAATAATGAAAAGCGGGCAATAGGAGCCGGTCATCATATAACGACCCCGCCACGCCCAACCGCCCACAAGTCCGCAGAGCAAAGACCGCAAAACAGGGCGGTTAATGTTAGAGCCGCAAGTCATTTTCCGACTTTTCCGAGAGCGAGAACGTAGGAAGTCCAGGGGAAGTGCTCTATTTGGCCTGGCAATTATTGTTAAATGTGCGTTCTCTTCTCCCTCGTTTGAGATGGAGATGGTGGCCTAAGTGGCTGCCCCTATTATCGCTCCACATCCATATCTACTACTAGATCCACCCAACCAAGAAACCCACAAGCTGTCAGCACATTCACACACAGGCTGCTAACTTATGCAAAAGTTGCAAACAATCGGCTTGCGGGGAAGTTCATGTTGGTGTTTTTGGCGCGGCAAGAAAGTTCCCTAATGGGATTTGCCAGCTTTGAGTTTGACTTGCAGCTATTAAAGTTTCTGCCGCAAACTGTTGCCTACATTGGGGGGCAGCAGACAGCAAGTGTTGGCCATTTCTGTAGCTCCAGCTCCAATTGAGTTCTTCCTCTTAACTTGCCCAGCACTCTAGTTAAACGATGCTGCACTCCCCAATGACGATTGCTGCACTTACATAAGCAACTCCTGTGCCTCATTTCTGTTGAATATGTTGCACTTTCTGCTGGCCTTTCAATTGCTGCTGCTTTTCCCCCTGGAAAACACGTGGCTCGTTCGAATTTCCACCTCCTACTACTGGCTCACGTCCGACTCTCCGACCTGCGGGCCATTATTATCTATCGTGTGTACAAATAGCCGTGGCGCCCACACACATCCGTACTGCGTGAGTACGTGCCCATACGGCCAAGCAAATAGTGCGGAATAACGGTGGCAGCATACCTGGTAGTTTCACAGTTTACCTGTTGGTCTGCTGGTCTGTTTTCCCGGGCCCTTTGTGGTTTGGCTACACACGGAAGCGGGAACTTTATTCACTTGAATTTCAGGAGAATTTTGCAAGAGTTTTGCAAGCTAAGAATTTATTTTAAACGACTAGACTCTCTTATCCTCAAAACAAACAAAAAGGGTTACAATCGATAATCAATCTAAGCTTTAAATCAACGCTCAACTGATTGAACCCAAATATCTTGTGGCAAGGAATCTGCATAAATAACCCAAGTATTTATTTATCAAGGTATTTACTTATCAAGGCGAAGGGGTAGGCGTTCAGCATCAAAAGTCTAAAGAAGGTTTCAATTTCTGTGGAATTATATTATAGCTTGCATTTTAATAAACAAAATATTTACGACAAAGTCCGGCCAACTTAATTTTGTTTGATATGCAAAAAAATATTTGTGAATTACATTTTGTAAGTGAAAGTTAATCAACTTGAAGCAGACTGAGTTGAAAAACTTTCATTGCATATTCATGAACCTAAAAGTTGTGCGTTTAAAAGTTTCCATTTAAGACCTCGAATCTTTGAGACAATCTTTTCGTAAATACCACTTACAAGGCATCAATTATTCGAGTGATTGATTCAAGTGTTCGGCAACTTGTTGTTTCTCTACCTCCGCTACCTTTTGTATTTTTCGTATTTTCCCATTTTTTGTATTCTGCATTTCACGTAATATAATGGCGTGTTGCCACCGCAACGAATCGAACCGAACCGACCAATGGGGACGGATCGGGGGATATGGTTCGAGGATGATAACAAAATGTTGATGGAAAAGTGGCCCGGAGTCCAGGGCTCACCTGGCTCACTCCGTCTCGCTCTCGCCCTGGCCAACAGCTTTCGGCTCTGTGAAAATCTGCAGACAACAAATCAATAGGAATATCTGTCGTTTCTCTTTTGGACGCATTCAAATCCTCGGTAGTTCGGTCCGCAACGGTCCTCAACTTTTTTCCATACGGAATTGTGTATGCATAAAGGCCAACGAGTCGGGGGCCTAGGGAGATTTCGTCCAGCTTATTGTATTACGTGGGGGCCCCGGGGACACTGGGATTCCGAAGAAAAGGTAAGCTTGTGTAAGATAATAATTGCTACAGATTTCAGAATTATAAAAGAATATTGTGAACCCCTGGTGCGGATGGAATTATTGATGGATTCGATTGACTTTAAAGCGAGACCTACCCACCTGGGCATATGTTATGCATGGCATGGAACGATGTGTGGATAATTTGGCTGGGGTTAAGCTGCATTTGCATATACAAATGGCAGTGCGTGGGCCGGGCTTCAATCAGGTTTATGGCTTCACCTTTTCCGCATTTTGCTTTCCTTTTTCCGGCCCTTACTTTTGGCCCTCATCATTCCACTCTCGAGGTGGCCAGAGTCATTACTCTTCCCGCACGGACCGTCATTAAGTTGCAGGCCTTCACCGCGTCATAAAGAAGTTCGCCGGACAACCCTTTGGTAAACTTTGCTTGTAATTAAGCCCGCACCCGTTAAACGCATACTTAACACCACCCCCCACTTTCCAGATTCCTACTGTCCCTATCTACAAACCTTCCTACCAGGCACCCAGGCTAACGGGGCACTTTCACCCCTTGTCTCTGCTGTAAAAATAAACTGAGTGTGTGTACAACACAAACAAGGAAAGTCCATAAAACACTTAAGATCGAGGAATATGTGAGGAGGGGGAGGGGCTAGACTGGGAGACTGGTCACTAGCCCAGTGAGTTCGCAAATTACAAATCCTGGCCAAAGTCACGTCGCAAGTTGGTCATTAGCCGCCACTTGAGTCCCGAAGCTCCGCCTTCGCATCGATTTTATTGCAACACATAATTCTTGAGGCCGGGGCCATTTGTGCAAATCTCATGTTGATGGCATATTAAGTGACCTCCGGGTGGCTTTTCAAAACCCCCCCCATCCACTTCCACTCACAACCAAACACACACATTCAGTGCCCCCAAGCGGATGCCAATTTGCACTTTAAACGGCCGGCGGGTGGGCAAAGTGATGTCGTTGGATAGACAGAAATGGCGCAAACTTACGTGTAATTAGACGCGTCTGGGCGCGAGGATTAGCAATTAAGCGAATGTCCTGTGAGCGCAACAAGTGCCGCAGAAAGAGATGGGTATATGCGGGGGACGACGGTCGAAGGACGAAGTGGTGTTGAAAAAGACACAGGACACGAGTAATCCCAGTTGTGAAAAGGGGGGTGGCAATTGCCGTTTGGGGGCAAAGTGAGAGCAGCGCATAAATCAACATGTCAAATCGCAGCTTACAAAGTGCCAAACCCCCCACCCACCCACGCACACACACTGACACGCAGCTCACGCACACTAAGACAGACTCTAACTCACTTTTACTCCGCGTGCCGCATTATAGTTTAATGTTTACCATTTTCATCAAATTTGTCGGATAATTCGGTCCGTTATAGCAACTTTGCTAATTGTCCAACACCAACAAAGACACAAACACCAACACGAGCACCAATACACCAACACACCGATAAACCGACACACCGACGAGCAACAGTTTGCACGGCCAGCCGCTCGGGGCTTTCTGCACTTCCGTTTCCGCTGGCGACTGCCGCTCTCACAAACTTCCGCCCGAACGAAGCTGCGGCGGCGGCTGCTCGAGCTGAACTGTGGATTCCCTCGATTCTTGGCTGCCTTTTGCCTGGCTCCCGATTCCCGTGCTATCCGAAGTATCCCAGCGTATCCGAAGTGCTGGAAAAGCTCCGCTCGCTAAGCTTTTCACGGCCTTCCATTCGGCTGGAAAACGGAGCCGGTGAAAGCTAGCGAATGCAATGGTTAAGACTGTCGCTGCAGGATGTGATTGGAAAATCATCTAACGGTTTTATGTAATCTAATCAAGGACCAATTAATATTTAATGAAAGGACTACTGGGGATTACATTAATTGTTACGGATTGGACTTTGAAATAGCTTCAAATCCCATTATATCTCTAAATGAGTCTGCCAATTACTAGAATTTAGTTTGAAATAGGTTTTAGAAAATGTACGGAAATAAAATTGACACAAAGCTGTTTAAAATTAATACAAACAAAGTTTTTGAGATGTAGAGATTATTAACTTTTTTTTTTAAGTTACCATCATCCAGTTGAAGCAGTAAAATGAATTTTTAACTTTTTAAACTTTGTCGAGCGATAGCAACTAAATTAATTACTAAGCCTCTATACTGTTGATATAAAATATGAAGGGTTATCTATTACCAGTCTAAGAATCGCGAAATCGGTATGTGATTTTTCACATTTATAAAAGTTGACTTCCTTGATATATAAATGGTATTTATTAAATACATATTTTCTTGTTTAGTCCACATTTACAGAATTAGTACAACAATCAATTTGTTGGGCATAAATTAAAGTCTTTAAAAACGCACTTAACATTATCAAATTCCCATGTCGCTGAATGTGAAAAAGATAAAGAATAGCTCTAACAAATTGCCCATTATGGAGAGTGGTAAATGGGTGCACAGGGATTTCGGCTATATTTGTGGCGTGTTTGGAATGCAAGCATGTTGCAATTAGGCTCCAAAAAACATTTGTTGATTATACAAATCCAAAATGTATTTATTATTTTTATTCCCAAACGAATGGCAAAATAGTAAATAGTTTTTGGGGCTAGGCTTTAAAAGCAGCCAAATTCATTTTTTGGAGTTAGTCGAATTTTCCTCTCCGTGTTGAAATTTTCTTTTTAAGACATGTATCTGTCCTTTTATTTGTTTTGTTCAATTTTATTAATTTTAATTATAACTATAATAGTAATTACTATTGTGAATAATTCAAGAGCTTATATTCCCAACTGTGACTATTTCGATGATATTTCGGATGTGAAAAGGGTCAACGATGGCCTAAGATTTGGTGCTAATCAAACGGGGGATTATAATCACAGGAAGTTACTAACCGAATCCACAAAGCCTGTGAAAACCCATTTAAGAACGTGTATCTGTGAACTGATGCCCTGTGTCCAGATCTGCTGCCCCCGAAAAAAAATAGGTTAGCAAATGGAAAATGTGACGATGCCTTTAATGAGGAGAATGTACCCTCAAATGAAGCATTCGAGGTGTATCTAACTTATGAGGAGGTAAGAATGGTGCCGCAGTCAAACTTCACCGACTTGCTCGTGCTAAGAGATCAGTTCCGAATGTGCGACGAGGTGGTCAGCCTGAGGGAAGATGAGTACCGGATTCTAAAGGTTTGGTATGCGATCTAAGACCTGTATCTACGTTTCTAATACGAACTCTTTAGGACGGAACCCTATATTTATTCATTTCTAATGAAATCTGGATCAAAGAAAAATACTGCCTCTATCCCCAGTTTAAATCGGACCCTCCTAAGTCCATTTGGGTTGTTAAACAAATTTGCAAAGAATATCTGCTGCCAGCGACAATAGGAAGTAATGAAATGTATTAATCCATGACTTCCGCTGTTACCTTCATGTCTCTATATTTTCAGTCGCGGCAATATCCGTAATATTCAACATCCTCACATTGTCAGTGTATTTTTACGCTAAGAAGCTTCGGAATTTCCTCGGCAAGTGTCTTATTTGTACCGTATTCTGCATGCTCATGGTGGATCTTATCTACTTACTGTACAGATTGAATTTATTAAACCACATTTGCCTTTTAGCAGGTTAGTTGTTGATATTTCATTCAGCTCGGTTCTCAATAACGAGTCAAACTTATTTTTAGGTTACAGCATTTACTTCTTTAGGACGGCCATCGTGTTCTGGTTCTCTGCCATCAGCTTTCATTTGTGGGATCTGCTTACGAATAAAAATAAACCTTCTTCGTTTAAAACCTTCAGTGCTATTGTGTGGGGCTTGTCTGCTATTCCAACTGGAGCCATTTATGTAATCAACCAAGCTTGGGAAATAGACCTCCGAGGATGGATCTGGTTGCCCTTAATTGGCTTTTCTAACTGCAGGAAGAACGGTCTGAACTATCTAAACATTTATCTAAGTTTATCCATAAAATTTCCCTTCCTCGACAGCTTGGGGTCACAATTTTTGGATTTACTTGAAAGGACCAGTGCTGACTCTTACCATTTTCAATGTGATCATGTTTATTCTGACGGTTATTTACATTTGTAAAGTTAAGAGCAAAGTAAACAAGAAAAGTGTGAGCCCCCGAAAATTAAAAACCCTCGCAGAACATTCTATAGAATTAAAAAGGTTAATTAATTTCATTAATCTCATTAATTTTCCGATCGTTCCTATGGCAGCTATATGATATAGTCGTCCGATTTTGATCAAACTAAAATTGAAATTCGGAAATATTTAAAAAGAGTCATATCCTAGAGTAGAAGATAATACAATAAAACCAAGGAAGCTCGTAATTTATTTCCTATTACTTTTCCATTAATTTTCCGATCGTTCCTATGGCAGCTATATGATATAGTTGTCTGATTTTTTAAATAATTAATTCGGAATTCAGAAATATTTGAAAATAACATCCCCAAAAGTAGAAGGTAATATGCTGTTCAAAAAACAAACGACAGCTAAATTTTTTAACGTTTTCTTTTCCGGTCCTTCCTATGGGATCTATAAGATATAGTTGTCCGATCCGGTCGGTTCCGACATATATACTACGCAATAGAAATGGAAGACTTTTGGGAAAGTTTCATCCCGTTAGTTTAAAAACTGAGAGACTAGTTTGCGTAGAAACAGACAGACGGACAGACGTACAGACGGTAGACGGACAGACGGAAAGACGGTCATACGGACATGGCTAGATCGACTCGTTGTAATATGCTGATCAAGACTGATATATCTATATGGGGTCGGAAACGTCTCCTTCACTGCGTTGCAAACTTCTGACTAAAATCATAATACCCTCTGCAAGGGTATAAAAAGTGTGAACTAGATGTGATGATTAAATCAAAAACTTTGTTGCTTACTTTTTGAATACCAAAGTTTAAATCCCCCCGTTCTCTCTTAATTGTAATTTCATACAATTAACAATAAAGCAACAAAGGTCGAAAGACGTGATTAGGTTAAGAAATGTTAGGCTACCTTAAAAAAACCAAGTCAAAATAAAGACGCGATGTTGATTAATAGCTCGTGATTGTAAAAAACTTCCTAATTTAATAAACCAGGTTTAGATTTTGTTTTCGTTATTATTTTATTTAAAGCTAATAAAAAACAGAATCGTGCTTCTTTTTTGATTACTAAAAAAAGAACATGAATCCATATTCCATATATTTTAGATAGATAACACCAAAATGTCCAGATACGTAAGTTCCAAGTGAAAAATAAATACTCGAATAAATATAGGTTATAAAATCGTCTTGTTTTATTTTTTTCAGGTTTTCTGTTTGTTTGCTTACTGACTAAACTTAGGCTGCTTACATAATAAATAGTTTGGAAGTCTTCGGCTTAAAAACTAGAGAAACGACTACATAAGGTATTGGGGTACAGGATAGGACAGGATAGCATATCATATAGGGGGTGAGTATGAGGGATAGTACGGATGGTGAGCAGGTGTGTGGGGCGGGTAAAGATGTTTCCGTATGGATGGATGGTTTCTCCTCATAAATCCTTCTTAAAGGCTGGCAACGCGGGCCGACAGCTCGTCCAGCTGCTGGTAAATGCTTTCTGGCAGATCGGCGCCCACCTGCGACTCGAAGTAGGTGCGGATCTCCTTGACCTCCTGCGTCCAGAACTCCTTGGGCAGCGAGAAGATCTCGTCCACATCCACCTGATCCTTCATGCCTTCCAGGTTGAGGGCTCCCTCGGCGGGAATGCGACCGATGGCCGAGTCCACGAAGCAGGACTCTCCGTTCACGCGGCGCAGGATCCACTCGAGCACCCGGGAGTTCTCGCCGTATCCGGGCCACATGAACTTGCCCTTGGCGCTCTTGCGGAACCAATTGACGTGGAAGATCTTGGGCACCTTGCCGCGCTTCTCCATGCTCAGCCAGTGGGCCACGTAGTCGCCAAAGTTGTAGCCGAAGAAGGGCCGCATGGCGAAGGGATCGTGCATGATCACCTTGCCCACGTGCTCGGCGGCGGCGGTGGCCTCGCTCCTCATGGCGGCGCCAATGAAGACTCCATGGGTCCAGTCCCTGGCCTCGTAGATCAGGGGCACTCCAGCCGGACGACGTCCCCCGAAGAGCATGGCGGAGATGGGCACTCCCGCCGGATCCTCCCACTCGCCATCGATGATGGGGCACTGGGCGGCCGGGGTGCAGAAGCGGGAGTTGGGATGAGCGGCCGGCTTGCCGGACTCCTTGGTCCAGGGCTTGCCCAGCCAGTCGGTGATCTGGACATTCTCCGCCAGACTGCTCTCCATGCCCTCCCAGAAGACTCCGCCATCCGAGGTGGAAGCCACGTTCGTGAAGATGGTGTTCTTGAACACCGTGTTCATGGCAATGGGGTTGGTCTCCATCGAGGTGCCAGGAGCCACGCCAAAGAACCCATTCTCCGGGTTGATGGCACGCAGCACTCCCTGGGAGTCGAACTTCATCCAGGCGATGTCATCGCCCACGCACTCCACCTTGTAGTTGGCCAGCGAGGGGTTGAGCATGGCCAGGTTGGTCTTGCCACAGGCCGACGGGAAGGCGGCGGTGATGTACTTCTTCTCGCCCTTGGGATCGGTGATTCCCAGGATCAGCATGTGCTCGGCCAGCCAGCCCTCGCGCTTGGCAATGGTGCTGCCAATCCTCAGGGCGAAGCACTTCTTGCCCAGCAGCGAGTTGCCACCGTAGCCAGAGCCATAGGACACGATCAAATTCTCGGCGGGCTTGTGCAGGATGATGGTGCGCTCGGGATCGCAGGGCCAGGATGGCTGCTCCACCTGCCCGTTGGCCGGGGCGCCCACGGAGTGCAGGGCGCGGACGAACTCCTCCTTCTTGGCCAGCTGGCGCAGGACAGCGGCTCCCATGCGGGTCATGATCCGCATGGAGGCCACCACGTAGGCGGAGTCGGTCAGCTCGATGCCGATCTTGGAGAGCGGCGAGCCCACGGGTCCCATGCTGAAGGGCACCACGTACATGGTGCGGCCCTTCATGCAGCCGGGGAAGCGCTGCTGGACGGCGGCTTCCATGTCGCTGGGCGAGATCCAGTTGCCCAGGGCGCCCTTGACGCCCTCCAGGGGCGTGGGAATGGTCTCCTCTTTACGGTCCGTGCAGATGAAGGTGCGCGACTCCACGCGGGCCACATCCGCCGGATTGGTGCGGGCCAGCCAGCAGTTCTCGTACTTGGGCAGCGGCACAATGGTGCCCGCCTCCAGGAAGGCTCTTGATGAGCATCTTGTTCTCCTGCTCGCTGCCATCGCAGATGTGCACCTGGTCGGGTTGGCACAGGGCGATGCCCTCCTCCACGAAGCTGCGCACTCCGGCGGTCAGCGAGTCCACATTTCCATAGGAGATGGGGATGCCGCGGATGTGGCTGTACAGACCGCAGTTGTCCTGGCGCAGCTTGTGCAACTGGGGCAGGCCGCACACATTGCCGGAACTAAAAGAGGGGAGGGAAAATATTAATAAATATTTTAATTATGGCTAACCCAAATGATGCCCTGCATTAAATATTAAAATGCATTTCAAGTGACCCCTTTCTGCATACTTACATAATTTTGCTTTGTTCAATGAGCTCAGGCATATTGCTTGCTTTGTATTTTATGTATTTCTCTCAACAAAATACTTTGGAATTAGTTTGTTAGATTTTGTTGTTCTTTTTTGGCACTTTGCTTAATTCGCTTATCACAATTGGGTAATTATCACAATTATTGTTCGACTGCTAAAGACTCGATATGTTCATATGTTCTTCCACAGTTTTTTGTCAAACATCAACTCGGTTTTCAGACCACTGAAAGTAGGCTTTTCACTTGATCTTTCCATTTACTCTGGCCACGAGTAACTGATGCCAACTGCCGCGATCCGGGGCCTTTTATACCCCTCGTCGCCGTCGAGGCGACTAGAACAAGTCGGCCGATCGCCTCGGGAATCGGGTTTACGATCGCCTCGCCTCGCCGAGCGAGAGGGTCAAACTCCGGACGAGCTGATTGGCTGCCGGCGGAGGCTCGGCGATTGTTTTGGTTTTTCACTCGGTCTCTCGATGAGTCGGGGGCCCATGAATTCAGGGGTGTGGGTATGGGGTATGTCCCCACTTGGCAACAGAGCAGAGTGTTGTTTTCTGTTTTCTGTTCGGTACTAGTGCGTTTGCATTGATAAGCGTTTGTTTTTATATTTTGACACCCTGATATTTGCCACTTTCGCGTTGTTAATTTAATTATTTTGTTTATGATTTTATGCGATACGTAAGCGTACCATACATATGCGAGCGGAGCGAAAATAGAAACCAGTTCATGGACAGCTGAGGCAACAGCAGTTGTCTTTCCCTGCAGCTGGGTAAATTCTGGATGTGTCTATAGCTGCATTTTCGTAGATGCAACCTCGGTTGGAGTAGGCCTCTATTTCTGCCTCAAACACGCGCCCTCCTACGACTGCCTTTTGACCAAATGTATGTATATTTTTTTGGCCCTCTGCCAAATCGAAAAAACTTTCGCTTATTTGCGGAATCGGTGACGGAAAATTCGTATGCCAATCCGCGCCCCTCTGGCCATCGAGTTGAGTCCCGGCCTCCTGAATTGGCCATGGCCGCCTTGGAGGCCAGAGGAATTCATGTGACTCTGGCGGCGCACCAGAATAGCACTGCCCGAATGGTTGTCATGTGGCCACTCTTGTTTTTGTCTCTGGGGAAGGAGAAATGAAGGTGCTCCCAGTGGTGTGACTTTGCCCCCCAATCCAGTTAACAAAGGGACCCAGAATCCTCTGGGCATCCAGAGAAAAAGTTCACCAAAAAGGATAAAGTAAACTAAATAGCTGCTATTTTTAAATATTTATTTATAACTATACCTTGTGCTAAAATTATAAATAGTTAAAGTTTGCTAAATATGTTGTGCATAATAAATAAATTGTATCCATGTGTTTTTTATTATATTTATCTATTTTGTTTACTAAAAAACCTTCGAACAATTTTTATAAAGATGAAAAAATATTGTATAATTCCATTAATGATATAGATTCATAAATATAAACCTCCAAAGCTTAAAAATAAGTGCTGATAAAGTAAAGAACCAACATTAAATTCCCTTACAAATTAATTTCCACTTTAGGCTACCTTTACAATCAGGTTCCGTTTACCGCTCACTTAGCCTAGACCCAGAAGGGATTGGCGCCCAATGGCCTTGAGGAAACCTGGTCAGCCTGTAGTCCTTGGTCCTTGGCTACTCCCTCATCCCTCCCCCTCCTCTTATTCCCCTGCCCCTTTTTTGGTTTCCCTTACTAACAGTCCAGTTTCGATTTTAATCGAATTCGTCTACACGCGTTGCCTCGTTTTTTCGGTTGGTTTCGGTTTATTTATAAACTATGGACTTGTTTTTCTAGTTGGGCCTGATAATCTTCATCATCGGCATCGCTAATTGCTGGACCCAGACTTGGACTCGGACTCGGACTCGGCCGCTAACTGCTTCGCTCCTGTTCTCACCTCTCCCTAACTGGGTTGGCGCATTTCGATGATTCGGGCTTATTCGGAATTTACGTCAATAGACGATCGATCCGCTAATGTATATGCATAATCAATATGCGATCTGTTCGGGGATGTTAGATCGAAGGGGGACTGGTGCTTGGGTTATCAGTGGACGAGCCTCTGAGCTCTTCTAAAAATAGATCACACCCGGATCTGTTGGGACCGCCAGGAAAATTTTCCAACGGGGAAATCGTTACTAGCGGGAGTGAAAATGGATCTTTACTTGAGAACTATTTTTAGGGGCTTCTGATTTTGGGCCTCTTGGTTTCTTAGCTGTTTAACTTCTTATCATTTTGCACCCCAGAGGGTACATCACACCACACGTTCCCAATTTTGGCAATCAGTCCTTGGCAACCCGAAAGCCAGCTCCATAAAGTTTTTTGGCTTCTACTGGCATTATTTTATTTGCTTGTTTTTCATCGTTTCGATCTGTTGATAAGTTAGGTTAAACGGCATTATGGATTTATACGCTTGTTTACGCCAATTGCGGACGGGCCTCCGCCTCCGGCGACCACTGATAAGAGGCCCCCAGGCCACGCCCCAATTCCATTTCCAATCCCATTCGCATTCGCACTTCCATTCCCAAATACCCCCAAAACAATAGCAAGTCGAATTTCGCTATAAAAATCTCGTTCGTTTCGTTTGGTTTTATTTTAGGCAATAAGGGGTCTTAGTCTTAGATTAGGGAGTAACCTATGGAACAGGCACATCACATGGCCGCCACACGCGCCTTCAGTTCCCTCAGCTGCTCGGCCACTGCAGCCGGCAGATGGTGGCCCACCTGCTCCTCGAAGTACTTCTCAATGGAGGCTACCTCCTGCTCCCAAAAGTCCTTTGGCAGATCGAATAGCTGCTCGAGATCAATGTTTTCCTTCAGGCTCTCTAAATTCAGAGAATCCTTAGAGGGCAGACGGCCGATGGGAGAGTCTACGAAGCATTTCTCGCCCTCCACCCGCCGGAAGATCCAGTCGAGGACCCTGGAGTTGTCACCGAATCCGGGCCACAGAAACTTGCCCTCGCTACTCTTGCGGAACCAGTTGACATGGAAGATCTTGGGCACCGTTCCCCGCTGCTCCATGCTCAACCAGTGACCCAGGTAGCCACCAAAGTTGTAGCCAAAGAAGGGTCGCATCGCGAAGGGATCGTGCATGATCACCTTGCCCTTGAACTCAGCCGCTGCGGTGGCCTCACTCCGCATGGTGGCGCCAACAAAGACTCCATGCTTCCAATCCCTGGCCTCGTAGACCAAGGGAACGCCAGTGGGACGACGTCCGCCGAAGAGGATGGCCGAGATGGGCACTCCCTCACTGTCCTCCCAGGCGGGATCTATGATGGGGCACTGGGCAGCCGGGGTGCAGAAGCGGGAGTTGGGATGCGCAGCCGGTTTGCCGGATTCCTGGGACCACAGTTTGCCCAGCCAGTCGGTGACCGTCACACCCTTTAGCTGATCCCTTTCCATTCCCTCCCAGTAAACCCCTCCATCCGAAGTGGAAGCCACATTTGTGAAGACCGAGTTGCGGAATATCGTGTCCATGGCAATGGGATTTGTGGACCTCGAGGTTCCGGGAGCCACGCCAAAGAATCCATTCTCTGGGTTGATGGCTCGCAGAACTCCCTTCTTGTCGAACTTCATCCAGGCGATGTCATCGCCCACGCACTCCACCTTGTAGCCCGGCAATGTGGGCGTCATCATGGCCAGATTGGTCTTTCCACAGGCCGAGGGAAAGGCGGCAGCTATGTAGATCTTCTTGCCCTGCGGATTGGTGATTCCCAGGATGAGCATGTGCTCGGCCAGCCAGCCCTCTCGCTTGGCAATGGTGCTGCCAATCCTCAGGGCCAAGCACTTCTTGCCCAGCAGCGAGTTGCCTCCATACCCAGAGCCATAGGACACGATCTCATTCTCCGCCGGCTTGTGCAGGACAATGGTGCGCTCGGGATCGCAGGGCCAGGATGGCATGGCCTGGACACCACTCTTCGGAGTGCCCACCGAATGCAGACACTTTACGAACTGACCATCGCCGCTCTGCAGATGCTCCAGCACTGGATTGCCCGCCCTGGTCATGATCTTCATGGATTCCACCACATAAGGTGAATCGGTGATCTCGATGCCGATCTTGGAGAGCGGTGAGCCCACGGGACCCATGCTGAAGGGAATTACGTACATGGTGCGTCCCTTCATGCAGCCCGGGAATCGCTCCTTGATGGCCGCCTGCAGATCCCCCTCCGCCATCCAATTGCCCAGCATTCCCGGAGTCGCCTTCTCCGTCACCGGAACTGTCTGCTCCTTGCTGTCCGTCGAGATGAAGGTCTTGCCCTCCACTCGAGCCACATCCGCCGGATTGGTGCGTGCCAGCCAGCAGTTCTCGTACTTGGGCAGCGGAACGATGGTTCCCTGCTTGAGCATCAGTCCCTGGAGCAACTGGCTCTCGCCCGCGGTTCCATCGCAGATGTGCACCCGTTCCGGCTGGCAGAGATCCACGCACTTCTCCACATACTGCTTGACTGCGGGGGTGAGGACCTTGGCATCGCCGTACTGGACGGAGAGGTAGCGACAGGTCAACCGGAAGTTGTAGTTCCGGTGTGAGGAGACCAGGCTGAAAGAGGGAGATTGGGATTGTATATAAACGGAATAAAATGGTTTAATCTTATCGTAACTTTATTTAAGAAAGTTAAATCAATAAAAGTGATAGGTATGCATTTAAAAATCTGTCTTCAGTCACTACTTTTATTTCTTTAAAGGGAACCGAATTTCTACCTTAAAAAAGGTTTGACTATGCAAAAGAAAATGGGTTAGATATTAAAGAAATGTGGGTAATCATTAACAATATATTATTTCATTTATCTTCAGACCAAAAAAAAACTCTTGTGCAATTAATATGAATAAATATAAAAGGATAGATAGAAAGTAAATACGGTCCATTTCGGTTTAAGGTTCTAGCACCATTAGGTAAAAGGGTGCCTTACTCTATAACCAATGATAACGACCTTTTCAGATACTCTACCTACAGCCAGCACCAGTCGTAAAGCTGACTAGCCGCCGCGAGCACAACTGTACCCCCTTGGCGGACCTCGTAACGTGAATTTCAAATTCTAAGCGGTAACGCACCGCCGTTGAAAAAGAGGCAGTGCCGCGAAAGAAACGACTACAAATAAAATCGAAACACAAACAGAAAAGATACAGTCAAACAGGCTGATCAGCTGTTCGTCTGGTCGTTCAGGTTTTGGAGAGCTCCACTCCAAACTCGAGAAACTCGCTGGCGGCCGCACAATTCGCACAGAGCTCTGCAAACTGGAGATCTGGTGGGGGGATGATGGAGATGGAGGGTAATGGGGTTTCCAGCCAATCGATCCAACCTTCAGTCCACGTCACTTTCATTAGAAGCGGGTCCAGCCGGAGCTCCCCAGACAGCATGATGCAATCTTGCATCATCTTTTTGGCCTTTGTTTTGGTATTTGGCAGATAAGCGAAGAGCAGGTAGCCTGGTGGTATCTACTACTCGTAGTACCTCCTTCCTTCCGGCAGCTATCGCTGAGATACATTTACACACATGTCTGTGGGTCAGAGCCAATCTCATATGCCAGACAGGCAGCGATCGTTTACAGGGGGTCCAAAGTCCAGTGATTCCCCGCCTCCAAATCAACGGCGGAATTATCGTTTACACGCGCTCAGGGTTGCCCCACTTGTGACGTCAGGCGGATGTCTGAATGTCTGATGAACCGTATAGATCCGATCCGCCGAAATGTATGTATGTTTTATAATTTCCGAACTGCGTAGTTTTCTCCGCCACACGCTCTACATATGCACAAAGGCGCCTACCTATATAATAGATGGGTATACCAAACTGGCCTGGTTTATATTAGCATAAGTTGTCTGCATGGTCGGGGCATGTGAGGTGAATGACAAAGACCCAGCGATGTCTCTCAATGTCTCGGCTTTGCCAATTCTGGGCACTGAATAGCACAGAAGATGGCCAATTAAGCCGCCAAATTGAATGAAAATTAACATTTAATTCAATCATATTAACTGGCTTTCGGTTGGGGTTTTTCGTGGCCCACGTCTGGCATTTATCGTGGCTTTTGCGTGTGAGAACTTTGTTTGCCAGGTTCGTTGGTCGTGAAACGCTAGTCAAATAGTCCAACAATATTTACGATGGCACTGATATTGATAAGAGAGCATTTTCGGCGAACCGCTTTAGTCCAAATTGCACCGCTCTAGTATCGCTGTTGACACCGGCAGCTAATTATTTGAGCAGCACTCGAGTTGTCGACGCGGATTTGATTAGGGACACGCGCCCCAATTGGAAGCTGAAAATCCGCTGCGTATTGGGTTCTATTTTGGGAGATAACCGAGAGTACTTCTCTGTCGCGGAATGGGCCCGAGAATTTCCCCTGGCCTTTCGAAATGGCAACTAAAAAGGAAAACCCCCTCCTCTCTAATGACGCCACGAATGTTGACCACCCTGTGTTGGACATACCACATGTATACCCTAACCAAAGGGCTCTCGAAACTGAACTGCTAGTTTGCCGGCCATTAAAGAAATTCCATGAGTAAGCGCTTCAAGTGTATTTCCCACTTCGTTGACTTCCTCTTTCTGTTTACGTATTTATTTGTGTTTTTTATTGCGAAAAATACGCATTAAATACATTTGGTGAATTTTCAGCCAGCGCGTGTTCCTCTGATGTGTGTGTGTTGTTTTTTATGGAAAAAGAACATACACCCAGAGAAATGTGAGACTATTTTTTAGGTAACGTATGACCTAAAAAATTTAAATAGACTAAAATTTCAGATTTAGGTAATGGGTTACCTAAAAATATTAGCATGTGGACTATGTTCCTACTTTTTAGGTAAAGCCAAAGAGATTTTTATAGGCCATCGTAACCATAAAATTGGTCCATAAGACCTAAAATTTAGGAATAATTTGAAGTCGATTATTACTCACAATTTAATACAAATATTGGCCCTTAATATTAATAAACAAATTATTCGGTTTTTTAAGTTTATTATTAACAAATTTTATTAGACTTCTCTTAAAGCTAGTGATGGAAAAGTTTCAATATATAAAATCAATACCAACGTGGACTATTTTCCTACTTTTAAGGTAATAGTGCCCTATTCTAAAAATAGAATTCGCCTGTGCACCTAGAAGCAGGCTTCGGTTTTGCCACAGGGCCTTTAAGTAGTTCCGTAGACCAGAGGCTAGCCTATTGGACGCTCGCGCAGAAGACCGGGGATCGATTCCCACCGAGGACAAAATAAAATGATTGTTTTTCAGAAAGATAAAATATTTACTTTTCCGAATAAAACAATATAAGCAATTAAAATAAACAAATATGTTACTATCAATAGTAAAAATGTTAACTTTTTTGAAAATAGCTAATATTTACGTAATTTTGACCTAAAAATCTAGTCCACTAGCCATTTTTTTAGGTAACGATTACCAGAAATAAATTCAAGACTGCGTAAAAAATATAGTCCACATGGACAACATTTTAGGTAATGCATGGCCTTGGCGCGTTTTTCTGGCCATGTTTCCTAAAATTTTAGGTAATTAGGCCCCTTTTTAGTCCATTTTGTTTTCTGGGTGTATCAGTCTAATAATAGTAGGATACGAAATGTCCCCCCGAAAACACTTGGCAACAGAACAGTCATGGGGGTGTCAGCTGATTCAACAGATTTTCCACAGCCAAAAAACTGTACTTGCAGTCTGACGAAATAAACGAAACTGGTTCCATCAGAGGGTTCATTAGCCTTGGCCCTTCGCCTTAGATTCAATGAAAGAACCCAGTATCACAGTATCAAATGAAGGCGAAGGGCAGCCACAATCTGCGGCTTATCGACCAGACTTTTATGGGTACTTCAACTAGAGCTGCTAAATGTTTCATCCAGCCAAAGAAATTATGAGCAAAATTACTATAAATGCAGTATATTATCACTTACGTTCAAGCTATTAACAATTGTTATTGCGCGAGTTTTGCTCAGAGGAAAAACACCCTATCAGTTCCTGAGATGCAAAGTTTTCCGCTAGGAAGATTATAGTCTGCGTCATCTTGAATAAAGAAACTTTTCAGACTATATTTATTATTGAAACAGTTTAAAAATAACAAAGAACCTATTTCTAAATGAGTAATCCAATTTTCCGATCTCCTTGTTCTTCACAATTCATACAGACCATTGTTCCCATAAATTCCTTCTCCCAATAAACTAAAGGAACCCAGTGTGAACTGGATTTTATTGCACCCAGTCTCGAGGATGGTTTATAAGTACTCATAGAATGCTGTAGTAGAATGCTCATTACCGCATATCAAAGTCCACAGAGTGGAAGCGACTAATTTCGTATTTTGTTTACCGACTGATAAGCGAGTCTGGCCCACGCTTCCATATAGAAATGTACATATTTGTAGATTAAAGTGTTCCGTGAGTGGTATAATGTGTATAAGGTAATGGTCGATGGATGTCTGGACGGGTTGGTTCCGTGAATTACATGGAGTAAATTGTACTTGGAAAAAGTGTGCGGATAATTGGAATTGCTTGCGTTTTAATGCAGCCTATTCAATGAATGAAGTGATTCACTTTTCGAAGACCTTGCAAACAAAGCGTCATTATTTCGAGGAATCTTATCTAGAAGTTTCTGGGAATTCTGGGAATATGTGGTAAACAAACCATTAGCTGATAAGACATCATTAGCAGACTATGAGCTCTGTTTTCCATGTTCAGCAAAGCTGATCGATGGGGCCTTCCAATAAAGGCGCGTGTCCCTCGCCACCGATAAGCGGAATTACCATTTGCCTATTATATTTAAGAAATTGTTTTGATTCCAGGCCTGCATAAATAAAACCACACATATTTGCTATGGCAAGGCGAATTTGCAAACGGGGGCTCGGCCTGAAAAATAGATTCAGAGAGGCGGGTCGTCAACAATAATATTATTATTTTTGTTGTCACTTCGCCGACGTCGCTGTGTCTAAAGGTTATCATCAATGGCCGATCCATGAAACTGGAAAGTATCTGTTGGATACCTCCTCCAGCTACAAAAAAACCTGTGTGTTAACTGCTGCAGTTACTGGGTTGTTGAGTGGGTGGGTGGGTTTATTGCCAAAAAACGCCAGAAAAAGACTTCAAAACACGCCACCCCATCAAAACAGAAGCCAAAAGTAAAAACACTCGACAGGCGGACAAAGATTTCGAGACGTTGTTGCTAGGCGGCCTCAAAACACCCATACATGCAGTGCTTTGTTTTTATTTTGCCCGCCTAATGGCGTCACACACACGCACACTTGCGAGGAGCCAGTCGAACAACTTGCCAGCGATCGCACACACACCCGCACACTGAGAAAACGAGTCAAAACAAAACTACAAAAATAATAAAAATCGTGGTGGTAAGGGAGGAAGTGGAGGGGAACGGAAACGCTGATAAAAACCGAAACAAAGGAAAAGGCGGGAATCGAAAAGCTTTTCATTGAACAAAAGATCTGAAAAAAGTGTTGCATAAACACAGCAAGAAAACTGAACTTCTAAGGCTTTGCCTGAAAGTAGGCAGTGAAAAGTATTTGTAGGAACATAAAGGTCTTTACACTCTAAAAAATTTATATTAAGTAGTTTCAATATATTTAAAATATTTGTGTGATAAAAAAATATAATTTAAAGTTTATTTAAATATGTTGTTGTTAAGAAGGAAAGAACAATTTATTAAACTCTCACGATAATAATTTATTGTATATCTCCTGAAGAGTTCGTTACACTTTCAAAGTGTAAGCATTAAAGTGCTCTTATAACAAACTCTAGCATTTTTCAAGAGAGGTAGAGAGAGGAAGAAATAAGCAAGTAGCTCAGCCACCAAGAGATTAAGAATATACAGCGGCGAGTGCAATGATCTTGGGAGCTTTATAGATGACATTAACATTGAGGCGGTGTTGTTCGGGATGATTATGCCACTTGTTTACGTGAATGAAAGTGTAACGGACGCTTCGCGACTTGGAGAGCGTGGAATTTTCCCGCCATGCGATAAGAGTGAATCATAACTATTAGTAACGAATCTTAGTTGAGGTAGGTTAGTTACTACAGCAACTAAAATGAATGGCAAATACTAAGTTAGCCTTAGGGCTTGTAAGCCAAGTAGACCACACAATGTTACAAAATGTGTTCTTGAACACTCTTAAGCATTAATAGAGGTTTATTGAGGTATGAATAAAATAAAATATATTATTCTTTGGCATTACAACTTATAAAATTACAATTACTGTTATTCGTTTTTATTTTGGCATTGAGTTAATGAAAGAATTCTTAGTCTTATCAACAAAATGTATACAATTAAAAGTACTATATTTTCAAGTAGAAAATTAAATTGAAATTATCAGCCTTAAAGTGCGTCATTAATATGAGTTTCTGTCACTTAATATTTAATGCCCATTTATTGCAGATGTTGCCGTAGTTCGAATTAAATAACAAGCAAATTGAGATAATCGACTAAAAACAAATTATTTATATATTATTCGGCATTATCATTTGATAAGAACAGCATTGTGTTTATAAAAAGAGTACCCTTTAAAGTGATTAGATTAATTACTGCTAAAAACTAAATTTTGTTTAATGTTGATTAGCAGTTAGCAGTTTTAGTTTACCTTAAACTCCTAACTAAAAGTTCTTCCGAACAACAATTTCCTATCAGTTTTGTTGGGTTCCCTTTCAGTTACAGGATATTCAGCATTCGAACTTATGCTAATGCTGTTACTACTAAATTGCCACCTCTCAATGTCAATGTACCGCTTGGGGGTTTCGCCACCCTGGAATACCGCCAATCCGTCGGATTCCCATTAGACTCACCCGCATCGCAGCAGCTGAGCGCCTTTGAGCAGCATTCTGTCACCTGTTCGTGGTCGCTTTCACTTTTGCCCGCTAATACTCTTGGCAGCCGATGCAATTCCTATTTTATTTCCGCCTTAATTAATTTATTGCGCTCCGTTTCGTTGGACCCTCTGTTAATTTGATAAAATTGCCGACCTAATTCGAATTTATCGCACAGCCTCCGATGCACTTGTCTCTGGATGTTTCTGGAGCACTTGTTGCGCTTCAGCTTCAGCTACGGCTTATGTTTCGGACTCGGACTCGGATTCAGATTCAGATCCAGATATAGCGGGGCACTTGTTGCTGCTCTGGCACAACGAGCCAAACTGACTTCATGCGGCACTCGCTGCGCTCAAGTAACATGTGTGCGCAGACAGCCGAGCATTTTGCTTTTTCGGCTCCACTTGGGTCTTTGCTCCGTCGCGTCGCTCTCATACGATCCCATCCGATTCGATCCCATTCAATTCGATTCGATTCTTGCCGCTAAAGCATATATGGTCTACATATACATATGTTTTCCTTTCGCTCTGATAAGATAAGAGCTGGCATTGTTGCCGTTGCATTTGCCGCTCGTGCTACGTGCCGCCCACTGCATATTCAGCGGGCGGGCTGGGAAAGCTCCAGAGGGGCCAGGAAAAATCGAGGACCACGCCCCCTTATCGAAGCACACCGGTCTGGCGGGTCTGCGGAGCTCTTTTGCAATGTCTGCGCTGTTATCACACTGTCTGGCGTTACGCCATCGCTGATCAGCCTCTACACATCAGAAAATTAAAAGGAAGAGATTCGTAAATAAAGAAAAACTTTTGAAAGAAATATGAAGGGAAAATTAATTAAAAAGTTATTAAACTTTTTGTAAAAAACAACAAAAATAATAATTATAAAAAAAAATTAATATAGTTTAAATGTTATTACTTTCAAATCATATATAACCAACAATTTCTTTCAGTGTAGTCTCTTCATAAATTGACTTTCTCCCCCTTGCATTCTACTTATCACTTTACCCATATCGATCGTGGCTTCCAGTCGGAAATTATCGTTTTACCAGTGCTAGCGTATTTATAGACCAATGTCATTTACGATGCTGGTTTCCAATAAAACTGTTAACCGAAATAGCCAATATTGAAGGTCGAACTTAGCCACTCCTTCTTCGGGCACCTGGATTAGTTTAACTCCTGCCTGGAGGGCCTGACTTGTCTAATCATTTGTGACCAAAACAAAACAAATCGAAACTTTCCCCTAGGAGATAAGCCTAATCGGGGATTTTTTGCTCCCGGTCCAAGGTGCTTTGACCAGGGGGCAGCAAACCAAATACAAGGCATTGCCGTCTATCAGAGACCCATAAAAACCTGCAGATTCGTCTGCCGGGAATCAAACGTGCCAGCTGTGGTACAGTGGAACTCCCAGAAACCAGAAATAAAAACAATCGATGTTCGTTTTGCTCTTCTTCAACTTAACGCACTAATCATGAAATATCTTTATTAATAATAATTTCTTGCGTACGGTACAATAATGTTTCATATAAGTGTTCTTCTCCTTGCAGTGTTCTGTTTTAATACATTCAAATTTACACAAGTCCGGGGCTTTAGCACTACGACAATAATTGATATACAATATTTATAGTAGAGCTAGGTATATAGATTAATATGTACTGTATATATAGATTTAATGCTCGTATATATAGTGGCGTAAACAAGTAAACTATACAATTAGGCTTGGTACTATGTATTTGGTTTCGGTTGCGTTTGCATTGCGAGGATTCGACTTCAATGGATAAGGTGGGGGAGGGGCAACTAATTGTTTCGGGGCCTCTTACTTTACGTTCGTATAAATCTGCTGACTGACCGGATCCTTGATTGGAACTGCTTTTGATTGGCGGTGTACAAAATGGATACAAGTCTCCCAAAAATAAGGTTAAAGTGGAAAAATTCCTGCACTGCTATGGGGAAATCTACCGCGTCGGTGACTACAAATCTCTCTAAACTCGACGGGCCATATCATAAGTATATCTCTATATTTGTCTTATTGTCTTCAACGTTCTGCCGTCCGTCCTTTGCATTGACTTTGAGTACTTCGAAATTCCATGTGTTTTGATTCAGTTGTCAGTTTTCAGATATCAGTGGTGCTTTTGCCGTTGCCTTCGCCTTACCGAAATAGGAGAAAGTTGGGGGGAGGATTGTATGAGAACCATTTTGCGGAAACCGAATTGGAAATATGGCAGGGACTTTCTTTATAGGTATCCTTCGGACTGAACTCAGGTGAACAATGGGGTGCCGCTTAATAACTAGTTAAATATTAGACGCTTTATGGTTTCCCTTCTTCGATAGAACTTTACAACCACTAAAACTATTCACAGCAGTTTATTTTCATCTTTTGTTTTTCCTTGTGTAGCTCTGTCAGTGTGGGAAATACTCTGGAGTGGTTTGAACGGGGAAAATAGATGGTAGGGTGACTTTGGGGGATGAAGAGTCTTAACACCTAAACATTGAGGATATTATTTAGAATATCACACATTCCATGTATCTTTCTCTAATCAATATAGTTAGTATAGGTATTTGTATAACTCAACTAGAACTCGAAGTGTTAATATTGTGTCTCAACGCTCTTAACCTGTTTGAAGTAATATTAAAGTGTGTAACTCTCGTTAGATTACATATATTAGTTGTAGGTCGGGTGAGTTCTACTGAGGTAAAATTAAAAACTGCAGATCTCTACTAAAACTAAATGTTGAGTTTAACTCTTTGGAAATGCGCTGGCTAAGTCGTCTATAAAGCGATTGCCGTTGAAGAGTTATCTCCGGGGAGTGGCGGGAGTTCTGGGGGATTAGCGGGATTGGAGATTGGGAAAGAGGAGTGCGGCAATACTTTCAGTTTGTGTGCTCGAGTGTCTAATGGTAAAGCTTTAAGCATTCCAACTAAATGCTACAGAATCGAATTTAAACCTTTAGCAACCCGTTTCAGATAATACCTAACATCCTGCGGCACATTGTACTCGTACATAGTTTTGTTAAATTTAGTTTAGTTTTTTTTTTGGGTTTAGTTCAGTTTTGTGTTAAAGTACTATTTAACAATTTTAGTTACGCACTCTTCGGCCGTTTATTCTGGTAATTACGCTTAGTTTAGATTTAAATTATGTTAAAATACTTATAGTAAATATTTATAAATGTTTTGCGCTCAGCTCGGCACGCACTCTCATTAATCAATGCTCGTCTCAGCTAAACTAGTGTTACACTTGCCATTTCGTTTCGGTTCACACCTGGACCTGGACCTGTTGTATCTGGACTTGCACCTGGACCTCTACCTGTATCTGTATCTTTATCTGTATCTTTATCTGTATCTGTATCTGGATCTATATCTGCACCTGGGGTTTATGGCTGTCTTAGACATCGTACGCATCCTTCTTGTAGTTGTTCTTTCTGCTTGTTGGCACATTAAGCGCGTTCGATGTCTTGGTTGTCGTCGTCGGTCGCATCATCATCATCCGCATGGTCATGGGCTTGTCCTCCTCCTCGTCGTCAGAGAAATCGCTCTGTGTCTTCACATGACCACCCAGCGCAGGACCGCTGAAGTCGTTTTCGTCGTCCTCATCGTCCTAGATTGCAAATTGGAAAGAGCAGAGAAACGGATAAAGGGTGGCTTCAGCATGTCAGGCAAACAAATGATAGACGGACAGAGTCCTCTAGGAAATCAAGAACTTCTTACGAAATTATAGTACATAAATCAAATGAGCTGACACCACGCTGCGTATACTTGATATTCTACACAAGCTCAAGCGAAAGCTCTCTACACGAAAGCAGAATTTCAAATTATAACCACTTAAAGTCCAGCGACAACCCTAGTGTCGATGTAAAGTAGATGTACATCGCGCACTGGTTGCAAGTAAAAGGATTTGAATCATCATACAGAAAACATTGAAACAATGAACAAACAAACAAACGAACCAACAAACCAACAAACAAAATGGAAATGGTTAAATCTTTGTTATCGCACTGTTACTTTACCTGCAAGTAAGCCACGATCAGCCGCCAATTGGGTTTCTATATCTATATACACTCTTTATGTCCTACTTTCTGCTGAGCCCTCAAGCGATTTTGCTAGTCTTTTCCCTAAACTTAAGTTTTGTAAATAATTGTTCTGGCCTTATCAGTTTGTTTTCGGTTTAAAAGAGCTTGTTTTGCGATTGTTTGCTAGCTACGATTAATTGCTGTGCGTTGATTAGTTCCTATTGATTAGTGGTATTGAGTACAGGTAATTGCTTGCTAACCGAGGATGAGCAGTTGGTTTCTACTTGAGTCGAGAGGCATGTCCTTGGTTTATTCGGTTTCTCTGGGTGTTCAGTGTTCGGTGTTCGGTGTTCTATGTTTCTGGGCCATGCAAAGGGCTTTGGTGAACTACTTTTAGAGCTATCCTAGTTTCATCTGGTTGCTGAGTTCTGATTTCTGATGTCTCTGGGGTTCCCTAAAACGTGGCGCTGCACTTTAGTTCGTATCGTATCCATGGCTTCGTTTTCGTTTTCGATTTCGGTTACGGTTCGTTCTAATTCTAAACATTGACCAATGAAAATGGACACGGGAGCAGAGGGAAAGAAGAGCAGAGAATCGTGTGATTAGCTTTAGTGTTCAAGAGATGTGCAGGTGACAGGATCGGGGTTTCCGGGAGGGGGTATAGCTTTTCTACCCGGGACGAGGCACAACTTACTTCAAAGTCTCCAATTGTGAAGCGTGTCGCCGCTAGTGAATCTTGCGGTGGCATATCCGGACTCAAATTCTGAACGACAATGGGCGTGAGTTTGGATATGTATTCGGTATTTGGATGTAAGCATTGTCAGATAGGAAAAACAAGCGCAAGAGTGAGGAATGTATCGTTAGGTGAGAGAAAGACACAATTAGTCACACGTATAGACCAAAATAGAGAGAGAGAGATGGGCTTAATCTTAGCCTAACAACACAACAAATGGTACAAAGAAAGCTCAAATCGAGATTGGATCGAAAGAGTAATAAACCGACTTGGAGAATCCTGGATCTGCACTTACATCGTCGTCATTGTCAATCATCTCCTTGGTGGAGGCGGTTGTCTCGTTGCGGCGGATCGATCCCTGGTGGATGTCCAGGTCCACCTTGAGGCACTGGAAGCTACGCATGAGGAACACGATGGGCATGGGCAGGACGCCGGCCAGGATCATGGACAGGGCGATGGCCATCACCCAGTTGGGGTAGCTCTTCTGCTCGATCATACCCTGGGAAATGAGAAAAAATTAAGTTAAAACGTGTTCTTTAATATCTATTTTTTATCTTTCATATCCATTTGTTGTATGTTTAATACTATAAAACTAAAGTTAACTAATCAATACCAAAATGGTTTTAAGATCAAAAGAGAGTTTCATCGTAAGCTTTTTTAAACAAGGTATTCCTCTTTTATTTTTATCTAGATTAAAAAAATGGATATTTTAACTTTTCAGCTAACTTTAGTCATAAATATGTGATATGCTCAATGTTTCTTTTTAAGTTTTTCAATAGAATGCCACTCTACTCACCAAATCGGCATTCCAAGCACCGTAAGTGGGATTCCTGATGACCATAAAGACCACCGAAGAGACCAGGATGCAGACCATGATCGCCGGGCCAATGTACCGCCAAGTCCACTGCCAGTAGCGACCAGGTCGATAGCCGGTCATCTGGTAGATGTCCTCAGTGAAGCTGTGAGAAGGAATCTTTAGTATATACTACCCAAAACGAAGAGGCACTAGACTCACCGCTCGTGTCCGTAGATAAAGATCACGGCTATCATCTCCATCAGAGCCACCACCACGAGGCCAATGGTGCCGGCAAAGGAGTCGAACATCTTGAGCCAGTACTCGCCGGCACCTGTGCAGAAGATGAAACCGACAATGAAGCAGAAGAGACACACCACGCCAGTGACATGCTGTTTCTTAACCCGCTTGATAATGTCAATGTCGAAGAGGGTGCACAGCATGCCCTCCAGGATGCCGATCTGCGAGCCCAGTCCCAGCGAGAGCAGCATGGTGAAGAAGAGCACCGCCCAGAAGGGAGCGCCGGGCAGCTCCACGATGGCCTGGGTGAACACGATGAAGGCCAGGCCAGTGCCCTCGGCCGCCTGGATGAGGAAATGAAGGAGTTAATTAGGAACTTCATCCTCCAGATGATAAACAGTACTCACATTGTCCAGTTCGTGGGCCAAACTGCACTCGGCCAACTTAAGCCTGGTTATTTCGGTGGCATTCAGCAGACTCATGGTCTGTTCATAATTCTGGGTATCGTTGAGCAGCTTGTTATTAACCAGGATGTCCGTGTTACTGGGGGAGGGGAAAAAGGAGCCAGGGTAAGCAATCAATAAAGTCCAGTTCGAATCGGTTAGAACCCGATGGTCATTCAGTTCAAGAGCAATTGTGCATAACTCGACGTGGGTCCGTTAATTGATGCAAATTGACAGACACGACCGCGATTCCATCTATATATCGATTCGAATATCAATGGAGGGGGGGCGCAGATACACCCACCGAGCCGGCGACTCATTGATACGCAAATAGATACAAAGACAGTGGCCCCATGCCGGTTACAACTGGTCAGCCTGATGTGGGCATATTGATGACCCACCCAGTGAACCCATTGGTGCGTGTGACCCACTCCCATTGACTCACCTGGCTATACAGCGGTCCACATTGACGGTGGCCTTGAAGCCCAGAATGGCGAAGATGACCACACTCGCGTAGATGGCCGTGACTGCATTGCACACGGACACCAGGAGCACATCCCTCACGCAGTTGTTCTTCGGCGTGTTGTAGCTCCCGAAGGCGATGAGGGAGCCAAAGGCCAGGCCAAAGGAGTAGAAGACCTGCGTGGCTGCATCCAGCCAAACCGTTGGTTCCAGTAGCTTTTCCACCTTCGGCGTATACATGTGCATCAATCCGGCACCGGCTCCTCTCAGCGTAATCCCTCGGATGAAGAAGATGGTCAGCACAATGTAGGGGAACAGCGAGGTGAAGTAGACCACCTTGCCGGAGCTCTGGATGCCCTTCATCACGATGAAGAAGACAATGGTCCAGGACAGCATCAGGCAGAGCACGATCCACCACTTGAGGCCGCCGGGCTCGTCCATCGAGGGGGCTGCATCCAAGGTGGTGCGGTACCAGAAGTACGTCGTCTCCGAGGATTTGGCGCACTCCTCCAGCTCAACGGTGCCGTTCAATGGACAGGTGGACCAGGGCAGCGGGTACTGTTAAGAAGATTTGAGGTATTAAATTATAGGGTATTGGATGTAGGGTATTAACCACTCACCCGAAAACTGTTGAAGAGGTAGAAGAAAACCCACGTGATTATCACGTTGTAGTACAGAGCCACAAAGAGCGTCACTATGCACGACGAGATACCGATGCCACCCAGCCAGGGATGGATGGTATTCCACACGCCCAGGGCACCCAGTCTCATCCTCTGGCCGATTCCCAGCTCGATGAGGAACAGCGGTATGCCCTCCAGTATCAGCATAATCATGAAAGGTATCAGAAAGGCACCTGCAACGGGGAATAAAGAGGGTTTAGTTTCACAGAGAAAAAAGTAGGTAATAGATGAATTTAATAAAAATAACACCACAAAATTAATTAAGCTGTTAATAATATTCTAAAATATTATTAAGTAAAGTTTAACCCTCATATTTTTTTAAGACAAAGATGTGGATCAAATATATAGTTAAGCTTATATATTATATAATATATAATCATATTTTAATTGATTAGAATCGTAGTTAGTGAATAAAACTAATTTACTAAGAAAACAAAATAATACAAAAATTGTTCTATACATAATGTTTTTTTTTCTCCCTGTGCAACTTTAATTGACAGGTGACGTGACACAAAATCAATCCAAAGCAAGCCGGAAATTTGCATTTCTGGCCGGGTCGGGAAATATCTGGTTGGCCAACAAGAGAGTATTCGAACTTCGATGCCTGGTCATGCTGTCAATTGTAATTGAATTAGAACCAGGGTGGGGTTAAATCGCCATTAGAAATGTGCGTGCTCTTGCCACCCGCCCCGCCTGCACCACCCACAATCCACCCACACGAGCCACCCAAGGCCATCAATTGGGCCCTTCCGCCGTCGAAAGCCAGGCAATTAGTGCACATTAAATCCCATAATGTTATTGTCAAAGCTGTGCACCTGATTAGCTGCAGTTCGTTGGCCAACTGATATTGGATATGACACATGTCGACGGGCGGAGGACGGAGGGGGCGTGGCGGGGGTCTACCCAATTTAACGTTATCGCTCAGGTGACCCGTGCAGTCAAACAGACATTGATTGAAAAATACTGCTCCAGTTTGCGCTTTTCGCACCGCTGCCCGGTAATCCGAGGCTTATCGTAAAATTCCATGCAAATTCCTAATCGACTTGGTATTGTTACGTGTGCATAGGTACTTATGTAGTAACATCTATCTAATAATTATAATATCCAAGGCTTCTTAGAAAATGGTTTGTAAAATACTATACAAAGGGCATAGCAGACTTACCTAGGGAAAACGGCCCCCAGCGATTTTTAAAAATTTTGAATCAGCGATGGTAGATAATTAGAAGGAGAATATGGAAACCAATTTCAAAGCTATTGGACATTTGGCTGAGGAGTAATCGTCTGCAATCCAAAAATGTATTTAAGCTTATATCTGACCAACGGAAACGCTAACTGAAAATTAGTGATGAGAAATCAAAGGGATAAGAAATAGGTCCTCGCTAAAAAGCTTGGAATTTTAAGACTTTTTAAAAGTGCAGAAAACCGCGATTAAAATTTTCAAAAAATTTGTGACCACTTTCAAGTTTTGGCAACACCACCAATTTTTTACAGCTCCTGTGTCTTTTAACCATTGAATTAATAAAAAAATCATAATTTTATAGGTGGTGCAACAGTGTCAAAGAAAGGAAAAACTAGATTTCAAGTAGTTTTGTGGGACTTTTCTACAACCCGGCCACCCCAGTTTTTTTTTAAGTTTTTGAAGTGCACAGTACCAACTTGATTGCAAAGCCCATTGCTTCCAATATTTATTCTCACACCTATTTTGGCACTATCATCACTCTTTTGCCGTATTTTGGCGTTAGAAAGAAAAGCGAAATCAATTTTATCTTTCGAGCAGAAAGCACGATTTGTATAATTCAAAAGCAGAAATATCTGTCTTTTCATGGCCGAATACGAGATAAAAAAATAATGCTTTCAGACCATAGATGTCCATAGATGTTCATACAATTTTTTAAGTCCAAAAGTAGGATTTCGGCCAATAGGTAAGTTTAAAAAATACCATTCTATCCCAATTCACTGGATTTAATGTGGGATCTCCGTTGAGGAATTCGCTATGAATTCATTGACCTATTACTTTTTTCCAAAGCATATACAATTTTGTGTATTACATATTAAAAAGCCTACTTTTGGACTTAAAAATGGTATCGCTGGGTCATCAATGGTCTGAAAGCATTATTTTTTATATCGTTATCGGCCATGAAAAGACAGATATTTCTGCTTTGAATTATGCAAATCGTGCTTTGCTCGAAAGATAAAATTGATTTCGTGTTTTCTTTCTAACGCCAAAATACGGCAAAAGAGTGATGATAGTGCCAAAATAGGTGTGAGAATAAATATTGGAAGCAATGGGCTTTGCAATCAAGTTGGTACTGTGCACTTCAAAAACTTAAAAAAAAAATGGGGTGGCCGGGTTGTAGAAAAAGTCCCACAAAACTACTTGAAATCTAGTTTTCCTTTCTTTGACACTGTTGCACCACCTATAAAATTATGATTTTTTTTATAAATTCAATGGTTAAAAGACACAGGAGCTGTAAAAAATTGGTGGTGTTGCCAAAACTTGAAAGTGGTCAAAAATTTTTTGAAAATTTTAATCGCAGTTTTCTGCACTTTTAAAAAGTCTTAAAAATTCCAAGCTTTTTAGCGAGGACCTATTTCTTATCCCTTTGATTTCTCATCACTAATTTTCAGTTAAGCGTTTCCGTTGGTCAGATATAAGCTTAAATACATTTTTGGATTGCAGACGATTACTCCTCAGCCAAATGTCCAATAGCTTTGAAAATTGGTTTCCATATTCTCCTTCTAATTATCTACCATCGCTGATTCAAAATTTTTAAAAATCGCTGGGGGCCGTTTTCCCTAGGTAAGTCTGCTATGCCCTTTTAGCAAACAAAGAAGATTAAAAATTTATTATTAATGCAGTTTGATGAACAAATACTTAGTAATTAAGAGTCGTAAATAGATTACAATATAGGTACATGGATGGATTTAACATTAATTTACCCCACAAAATAGTTATAATATTCTGATATCTCAAAGAATTTCCATTAACACCTCATGTGTTCTCGAACTTTATTTATACAATATACAATTTATTCTTAGTAGTATCTAAAAGGTTCTTACTCTTAAAAATATTATTTAACAGCTTAACTAGTATCTTATTCCAATTTAAAACGCAAACTTGTTGGTCCAAAATATTTTTCCCATTATATTAAAATACTTTCACTAAACTCTAAGCCCAATTTTATTAAGATATTCGTACTCACCGCCTCCGTTCTGTTGGCAGAGGTAGGGAAAGCGCCAGATGTTGCCGAGGCCCACCGAATAGCCGATGATGCTGAGGAAGAACTGCATCTTGCCGCTCCAGGCGGCGCGTTCCGGCTCATTGCCCGGAATGTCCACCGACTGCACCGAGTTGCGCTGGGGGGCGGTGAGGACGATGGTCACCCCGTGGGTTCCGTCGCCCCTCGCCCGTGTGTTCAGTGGAGCCATCTCGTGGCCGTTGCGCGGCGCATCGATGATTTTGGTGGCAGCCATCAACGTGCGGATTGCCCTCGCGTAGTATCCGTGGTTACCTTCTGCGGAAAAGTGGAGCAACCGGTTAGCAAGTGGCAGGACCTCTCCCCAGGACCCCAGGACCCACTGTTTGATCGATACTCGTCGAGTATCTGGGTGTGTGGGCTTGTTTGCCCATTTGTGTGGCGGCTCGTCCTTGAGACTAGCGGCTTCTAGTGGCTGCTAACTCAATTTGTGTCCTAATTGTTTGCCATTAGGCGGGTTCTCCGCTGGTTAATGGAAACTTTTCGCCGGTCCACCCACGCTTGCTTTCTTTCTTTCCTTTTCCCCTATCAACTTTCGCAATTTTATTACTATGCAAATTGGATACAGTGCCATGAGAATTCATAAACAATGTATGTTCATTAGTTTTCTGCGGCATTTATTCAGACTATTATATTAGTTTGCTAAGAACAATACACCTAGAAATGTTTTTTGTGTTATATTTTCTTTAAAATTAAAAAAACATATTAAAGAAAAGCAATGAAAATAAAAACAAAAATAAAAACTAAAATCAAGAGAAAAAGAATTACGAGGTATTCCAAAAATATATACCTGGAAAATAATAATTTAATATCAAAACAAATATTATTACCCAAAATGTACTCTTATTCTTTGGAAATTACTATCCAAGATTAATTCTGTCTGTGTACCAAGCACGCATGTGGGGGGTCAGAGGTTAATTAGATCCTTAGTTTCAGCAGTAAACATGGAAGAAGCTCCAAGGACTGTTTACAAGCCACTAGACCCACCCAAACCACCCACTAAGAACGTGACTTCCTGAACCTTGTTGCTCGGTGTAGGGAAGAGCCAAAAATTTTCGACAACACCGCAGAAGGTCGTTGTAAATTGAAAGAGCAAGCAAAAAAGAGCAACCTGGGTGGTGGAATTAAAGGGGGGTTAGATGGCCCATGGGTGCTATGTGGTGTGCGGTGGCCATTTACTTGGAGGCTCGTCCTCTGTTGCTGACGTAGTAAATTAGGGCCAGAGAGCAGGCAGCTGAGAGAGCGGGAGAGCAATGGGTGTGTTGTTTGGGGCAGCAGCTGTGTGGCAAGAAGCAGCAATTCACCACTGAGAGAGAGGAAGAGAGAGACAGGAAAGCTCTTCCGAGCTTTTGGCGTCCTGCCGCTTCATTGATGGCCTTTCGGGGGGAAGGTTTCTCGAGGGGCACCGAGCACACACCTCCACGCTATATATTCTCGGTCTATTCTTCTATATTTCTTGCGTATACGTAATGCGCTATGACGTCTTTTGATGGCTGCCTCGTTTTCCCAATTGCGCTTCCCCAATCGCTACGCCCAACCGCCCATTCGTGTAAATATTTATCCAGTTACGCCCACAAAGTGTATCCCATTGAGATTTGTTGTACCCGCAGAAACCAAAAAGTATACCCCCAGCTGCAGTGACTCTGATTAAATTGCATGGAAACGGGCAATAATCAAAGGACGGCAATATGCACTTGTCCGCATTTCCACACATTTCCCCCCGCTGAGCTGTCACGGGAAAACTCTCGTCCTCTGATTACACAATCCGATTGCTGTTACGTAAACCAGAGTGTGAAAATATTAAAGTCCTGCGATTGTTGTCGTGCTGTTGCTTTCTACGACGCAGTTAACTGGGTGGATGGGTGGTTTTTCTTGTTTTTTTTAGCCTTCAATCACCGGCGTTTCTAAATAAAGCTCTGGCCAGGATGTGGCCGTGGCCCTGTCATTGGAATGGGCTAAAACACTTGGCCCCCACACAAAAATGGGGGTGCTTAAATCATTGCCGTAGGAAATTACTCAATGAGGGGTCAAGATTGCGGCTGATTGGATGTGACAGGACCTGATTGAAGAATGGGTCCTTTGGCTTATATAACTCGGGGGATTCAGAACGGAAATACCCATCTGTTTGGAATTTAAATGAATGGAAATTTACCAAACAAAGCTGCTACCCCCAAACTCGAACACAGGTAGAAAAGCTTAGAAAAACGGACAAACTCAATTGCGTCGTGGCAAAAATGCTACTCACATTTGTGAAAAAACAGCAAGTTCATCCCCTTTCAACTCGCGGGCTAGGAGATCCGAGTTTAAAGCTTATTCCCAGTTAAAGTGCCCTCGAAATAGATCGAAAAATGGGTGGCAGAGACCGGGGAAATAAAACAAGTAGGCGAATTTGATGACATGGCGTGTTGCAGGCTAAATCGATAAGAACGGCTTTGCGGGTAAGGTGGAAATCAAAGGGAAAAGCCAGCTGTCTTTCCTACTTCTGCATAAATCATGCAGTTTGATTGCCAATGAAATGCATTCTGTTTACGCAATCGATTTTGCACATTTTATTGGCCTTTTGTTTACACGGCGGCGGGCATAATAAATTCACTGCGAATCGTTCAAAAATATTTCCTCGTGAATTTTACTCTTGAATTTAAAATGCCAACTAATCATACCATATTTGTGGCTATTTTTGGAACCACTCGAAATATAAACAGAGAGGTATTGCGCAAGTGGTTCGCTGGCTGCCAATATGCATTTCTTGCCCTTTGCTCTTGCTAATTTATTTGGCCATCGTTTGGCGCCAAGTCGAGAATTGCGCCGAAAATCAGCGAGGACACTCGGCAGCCAAAAACTACCCAAAAACCACCCCCACTTCCGCTTCCTACTGACCTTGAAACCCAGCCTTCGATGCATTCGAGTTTGGCGGTAGTCGCCACGGTGAATTTCCTGGAAATCGGCGTCAGTCTGTTCGGAATGGGAAGCATTTTGAGGCACTTTAAATTGACAATGGGGTTCTCCTCTTCATCGGTGTTGGGTTACATTCCCCAAACCCCCGATACGAATTGTTTACGCATGCTTAACCTTGGTCAGCTGCTGCTCGAAGGAAGGAAGGTTTGTTTTGCAAAATCATTATGTAAATAAACACGGCTGATGGTCTGGCTGAGGAACTATGGAAAGTTTTCATGGATTATTTTAGCACTTGAAACCCCGTCTTAAGTCTCATCTAAAAAGGGACTGAGTTTCATGGGAATATTGAATGAAATTTAATTGTTCCTTTCATTTCACATCACTAGCATGTTTAGATTAAAATTTTTTTATTTATTCTGTCTCACCCTTAATGACGTACATTTCTTGTTAATAAAAATATTATATACAATTCATAGAATTTGTCATATATTTACAAAAGGTAAACAAATAAACTTCCGACGATAGAAACTACACAGGAAAAATGTCTGCTTTTTGAGTTGAAATACATTTTTGTTTTGTTGGTCATTAATTTTCCCAATTTGGAACTTAAAAACATTTTAATTTCCAAACTTTTAAATAATCAAATAAATAATGAGGTATTTTAAGGGCGTGGTGAGCCCTTCTGCAAGGAACAAAGCCAACCCTTTCCTCTATTTAATATTCCTTTGTGCGACCTAACCTTTTGCCCCAAGTAAGCAATCGATAAGTGGCAAGTGTTTCAGTCCCAACCCAAACACAACATTAATTTTTCATCAAACAAAGTTCGTTTGGTCAGATTCAAGCGGACTCGTGCACTTGTCTGGCCGAAAAGATTGCCAAAATACCATTGTACCTTATATAGACCATGTATAAACCCATTCTACATTGTATCCAACTTTCGCTCTCACCCTAGAGAGAGATGACAATGGAGTGGGAAAAGAGGGGGAGGGAAGGAAGAAAACAAAATGCAATCAGACAGGCACAAAGTTCAATTGCTTGTGCTTTCCATTTTTTGGCACAGCATCAACTGTTGGCCTGTTGAGGTCGATGGGGAGGATGGAGCTTTTGTGGCCCAAAACATCCCCTCGGCCAATGCCATTGCCATCCCCAATGCATTTTATCAAAATCTCAAAGTTAAGAGAAAAGCTAAAATATTTTCTTCCTTTAAAGCATGAGTTTTAAGAATAACCTATTCAAAAATACATTATTATTAATAATAAAAATAAAAAAAATTAAAAATAACTTTTAAAAGAATCCTAAATAAACTTAAATGAAATCGCTTAAGGAAGCCAATTAAATATTTTTGTTTACGCTCGCAGTTCAGTCAAGTGATTAATCAGTGAATGTGTTCCCCTGCCAAAATCTGATTCTGTTTTCCCATGTTCTTGCAATGCACTATATATAGTAATTTATGTCAACGTGCAAAGTTGAATGTATTGCGAATTCTAGCATTTTGTTGGTTTTTGGAATGCCAATTCGCTGGCAATGCACAAAAATGCAGATTTCCATTGGCGCTAAGGGCACGAAACAAATGAAATTAACATAAAGCTAAGTTCACTGTTTTCACGGAAATCCACGTGCATCTCCAACCTCGAGTTTTTATAACAGAGCTCCAGAGATAGAGATAGATAGAAAGGGCCAGAGAGACCGAGAGAGAGAGAGAGAGCGAGATTGGGAAGGACAGGGAGGAAGTCCTTTGGATATACAGTTGTGTGTGTGTGTGTTAGTGGGCAGGACACGTCAGGCAGAAAGTTTCGTCTTGCTTTTTTTGCTCCGTACCAAAGTTTGTCTCGGCTGGGGATCTGGAATTCCTGGCTGCTCTTAAGCGGACTTTTCACACACACACTCGCGCGCTTTGGAAAATCACAAATTTTCACTGATTTCCGCTTTAATCCAGCTAAACGCTCGATATCAATTTCGTTCGACGAATTTCTGCGTTTTTCTCACGGAGCTTTGCTCGATTTTCACGACCGTTGATTTGTGCTTTCCGTTGTAAACTGAATCCAAAACGCTTGGCGCCGCGCGAAGCTCGCGAATTGGCGTGGTGGGTTTCGAATCGCTGGTGAATTTACCACCACCAGCGCTGGCTCCCTCACACACACACGCACACACACAGGTCCTGACGCAGGACTCTGCATGGAAATTTTTGGGCTGGCAGCGGGTTTAAATTGGGCAAAGCTTCACTTTCATTGATTGCCGTACGCGGAAAGGAGGCCAAAAGCTGCAGGAGCACGTGGCTTTTCGGGGGTTGAAAGTTCAAATGCCGCCGCTATCGCCTGTTGGTGGTGGTTTAACGGAGGGAGGGATAGAGAGAGCAACAGAGCATCAAAGAGAGCAGGACTTCATAATTGACAAAATATTTAAGACTAAATACATATTAAATGTTAATAGAGTTGTATCGATGACATTAAATTAGGCATTTTTAATCAACACAAAATAAAACTTGTTTAATATTTAAGTCTCTTTACGAAATTTCCCGGTGCGATTCGTTACTACGGGTATTGCACAGTGCGATATATATTTTGGATCAGCATCAGTGGACGAGTCGATTTAGCTTAAAACTTAAGAAGCTGAAAAACATGGTTATCTGTTTCTAGTTTTTCTAGAGTTCGCACATCTAACGTTTTTGTTTGGATTTTTGAATAAAGGCGCCATTTATAAGTACTTCCCCTTCCATGATTTCTTTCATAATTTTTCCGGTCTGGTAGAACCAATTACATTGCAGCCTTTTAGGGTCTCTAAGTGCTACCGCCCGATAGATGGCGCTTGCTATGCGTGTGACCACAAGGTTATCGATATATAGAAACTCGATGCATCGATAGACATGCGCAATAGCGCGCAGTTTTTAAAATTTTTTTTTAAATGCATAATTTTAGTCATACGTTCACGTGAGGCATTTAAAATATAAGCTTCTAATGCTTACCACAATATACACACCAAAATGAAATATATTACATTAAAGATTTTTATTATAGTTTTGTCAGCAATCAGAAATTATATTTTAAGTTACCTTCACAAGTATATATTATATAAGGACATTATAAATTATATTTTTATTTAACAAGAACCAACATAGGTCTGTGACATTTTCTTCTTGGTTCATATTAAACTGGGCACGAAACATAAAATAGCTTTCATAAGAGTTTAATTAAATTTGTAAAAATCAAGAGTGTATTAAGTTTCGAAGTTCTTTAAAATTAAATATATGTCTGAAGTCAAATAAATGTCAAAATAAAAATGAAAAGGCGGCAGAATTCTGAGTGAACCTGACAAAAATGTTAAAGACGTGGCCCTGACTCAGAAAAGGTTAAATATGTTCCCCTTGTACACAAACTCGTAATGTTGTTTCGTGGCCAGAAAAAAAAAAAAGAAAAACAATGGCAGCCTCGCGAACAACAAGCCCTTCTTGTTTGCTCAGAAAAACCAAATCACAAATATTGTTTGACCCTCATTATGTTTGAAATTTGCTTTCCCAGGCCCAGCCAGCGAACACGAGGACATTAAAGATAGAATGTGAACAAAAGAGTCTGTAGAAGTTATGTGCACCGAAACATGCAACACTCTTTATGGGAAGGTTAGGAAATTAAAAATTAATTATTCTTTATATTATTATACTATTTAGTAATATATTTTACAGGAGCTTTTTATTATTTATTTAGATATTTTTACACAAAATATGTGACTTATTTTTCCATTTAATATATAGATTAAGTAGTGTGAGTTATTTTAAGACAGTATTCAAGTATAGTGAAAATATCCTCTATGCGGGAGTTTTAGACCTGTGACCCCGTGTAGAGTATCCTTTTCAAGAGCCCTAAAAGAGGGAAACAGCTAAACGCAGCCGAAGAGGGTCGAACAAGGGGCGAAACAGAAAACAAGGGAAGCCTGTAACTAAGTAAGATGTGCACAAAGTTAGTTTTCCTTTCCTTGTTCGCTTTTCCTTTTTTCCGTTGTTGTCCTGCTCGTAAACTCATTTGCCTGGCACGCTGACAAGAACGGCCCCAAAACAACCGGCGGCAAGTTTACAGAAAATACAGTAAAGTAAACATCTTCGACGGCCTGTGGGCAGCTCGAAAATGAGGCCGCCGCCCAAAGAAAATAATACAATTTAATATAAACACCGTGGTTGTTGCTGCTCGTCCTCTCATTGAATTTAACGAAGAATGTTGTCATTTCGCATTGACACGCAGCGCGAATAATACGCTTGAGCGTATGCAATGAAAAATTCAACTTTCGCATAATCTGGAAAAACTTGCGCACGCACGAAGGTAAACAAATTTGCACGGCCAAGGCAGAAGGTAAATGAAAATGTACTAAAACTGAGGCACGGCGCTTAGAAAATTATGCAAAAATAAACAGGGCTGAAAAAAAGTGAATGAAAAGCACGCACACGCAGGAAAAAAGTCAACTAAATTGATCAAACTTTAAATGTGATTTCTTGGATATAATAAAGTTATACATTTTTATCATCTCAAAAATAATATTTTTATTTTATTGGGATTTTAAAGTTTATTTCTGTATAAGTATTGCTTAATTACTCACCCTGATTTCATGAATTTAAATTTACAACGATCTCCTTTTCTCTCAGTGCGCCCCCAAAGTAAAAAGTGCGATAAAAACAAATGCGTCTTCTTCTCGGGCATCTTCTTTTTCCTCTCCTCGGCAAGGTGATTATCCATAATCCCCCGAAAAAAAGCGTCCGTGTGGCGGGCAGGATTGAATGACTAAAGACAAAGTTTTCCCTCGCCCAGAAGATAAATGCGGGCACTGCTCCAGCTCCTGCTCCTGCTCCTTTTTGCCCCGCAGCCATGCCACGCCAAGTCCTCCCCCAGAATGAGGACATACCCCCTCCCTCTCCATTACGCACCACCCACTCTTTTCACCTGCCTGATATCATACCTACCTGCCTGTCTAGGACGAGATTCAAGCGTTAATATTTTTAGCTGCGCTGGAATTTGTAGTCTGGCAGCGATAAAGCATCTTTTCGGTGACAATGAATCGGGGATAAAGCATTTTACGTGCCACCGGCTGCCAAATAAAGTGCTCCTCTCACCCAGCTGGTGCGGGTTGTTTTTTCAGCCACGTCGCTGATTCCGCATAAATTATGCAAGTACATTTTACCCGAGAGTGTAACATGCAGGCGACCGAATCTGCGGAGCGACCACAGGACCAAGAGCAGACCCCAAATTCGGGCTAACAAATTACAAATGTGCTTTTTATGCAGTGAAAACAAGACATTTGCGGAGGAGGATTGGTGGCTCCGAATTTGGGTTTGCCTTTGGAGACCTCATTTACACAGAAACAAAAGTAGATTTAAATTCACACGAATCTCTTACTCAAAGCAATCAATATTGTAAGGTTAAAGGTTACAAATAAATCTTTAAAAATTAGGTAGCTTCCAGATAACAGAACACTCTCTTTAACTCCCCTGTAAACCAAAAATCTTAAATACATACTCCTTCTGTGTTGAAAAGCCCACAGAGAAAGAGACCGCAAAAGCCACACGAAAGGCATTTCCATTCGAAGCCAAAGCGAAATTAGTTTTTTTAGCCCAGCGAAGTGTATTAATGAATTTCCATGCTACCTTTTGGGCAGCCAAACAACATTCGGTTCAAATCGAATAAAAACCATTTCGAGGTGCATTTGACTGGAAGACCGCAAACCCAATTCCTCATATCCCGCAGCAGGCGAAACAGCATTCATTCCGCTCCACCTCCCAGTGAACCTCCCTCTGATCCCCTCCCCCTCTGAGCCTCCCGCCGAGTGCCTTTCTGTGACAGGTGCACCTTGGCAACAGGTTGCAGGTGAGGTTGGCCAGTGGCCGGACTCTGGTTGACTGGCCAACTGGGCAACTGGCTATTGCCCCTGACACATTTCCAGCGACATTGTCTTTGGCCTGGCAAATGGCAAATGGCCTCCTCCATGTGGGGTAAACCCATCGTTTTAATGGCTAGGGAAAACTTATATCCGCCTGCCGTAAACATGTATTTTTATTGAAGTCCCGCTGACTTTCCCTTGCCAAGTTACATCATTAAATAGGTCTCTTACTGCTAACTACACTGTACGTCTTTGTATTTTATGATGGAACCTACAATTTCATGCTCTCATTGATTTTTTTAAGATTTCCCATTTGTAAACTGTCGAACCACCCACTGTTTTATACAACAAAATACTTAATATATTTAAAAATATAATTTTGGCATTAATTTTTATTTTTTGAAAAATGCTGGATTTTTTGAAAAGGTATATTTATTGTCACCGATTCGATATTGTAAGTGCTTCGACTGCATACACTTACATTTTCGTAAATATTCCCATACGAGCAATAGTAACTAATCCAGTAATTTGTAAGCAACACTTTGAATAGGTAAACGCTTAAATAACGACCCAAATGTAGCAGTCATGCCGGCTATTATCCAATGAGCAACAGGACCTGAAAGCTATTTGTATACCTCGTCACATTGAATTGACTCCTGTCTCTTTACACCTGCCATTGTGTGCTAATTTGCAACGGTTATGTAATTTTGTGGGGCATTTTGTATGGGACATAGGTATTTGGTCCCCTTATTGGGGTCCATCGATAGGATTTGAGAGTGTTAGAGGGGTGGGTGGGTGGTAAACCTATTCATATCCCGGATCCGGATTGGTCTGGCATGTAGTTATGCAAATTACACGCCCACACACACATGACTGCACGTGCGATATCAATGGGTATGGGCAGGGGAATGGGATTGGGAAGGGGGGTCTTACAGAGAAGGATCCGGATCCAAAGCAAACGTTTTGAATGGTTTTAATAACTTTACACACTCACGCACGCAGACACACACACGCAGCCACCTGCCGAGGACAACAATAACAACGAGTGCGTATAACAATGGTCCTTAGTAATGCGAACTGAATGAATATTCACGAATGGGAGTGTGTGCGTGCTTCTGGGTCCTGGGCACATGCCTTAAATACCAACATGGCCGAAAATTA